AAAAGCAATAAAGTTCAAGACGAGTTCTCTAAGCAAGGAATCAAATGGAAATTTATAGTTGAGAGGGCGGCATGGTGGGGAGGCTTTTGGGAGCGTATGGTTCAGTCTCTTAAAGCTCTTCTGAAGAGAATCTTAGGAAAATCATCCTTGACATTCAGGGAATTAGAGACAGTCATAACAGAAGTGGAAGCTTTATTGAACTCCAGACCTTTAACATTTACATACTCGGATCTAGGAGAGCCAGAATCTTTGACCCCTGGTCACTTCTTAATAGGAAGACGATTACTATCATTGCCACAAGGAAGCTCTAAATTAACTTCAACAAAGGAGAGTCTTACACGTCGATTTAGACATCAACAGATACTGGTAGAAAAAAATCTGGCGAAAAATGGAGGCAGGATTATTTGATGAATTTAAAATCTGCTCATCATTCCAAACTGGCGAAAACAGGAACCTGTTTGAATAAAGGAACTATTGTATTAGTGCATGAAGATAAAATTCCACGGCTGATGTGGAAGATGGGTATCATAATGGAAGTCCTTCCTGGGAGAGATGGCAAGGTGAGAGCCTGTGCTGTCCGCTTGCCCAATGGACATACGATTAAAAGACCAGTGCAATTACTATATCCGGTGGAGCTGGAATGTAATAAGGACAATTACGGCAATTGTCCTTCCGGGCGGGAGGATGTTGCAACTCAACTCTTGCTGAGATCCGATGGCTGAGTGACGTCATCTCGAACTATGAACTCTCGCTAGAGATCACGAGAACTCGGGATTGAGAAGTCGCATGCTGCGTCGTGCGAATATTTAAACCTTTCATTATGTAAAAATTATGTAACCTTTAACGTCTTCATTAAATATATTTGTGTTAAGAAAGTTTATCATTTATGGATTATCCCTCTCAAGATTTTGCAGATGCACAGCACAGAGGAACTTCAGCCCATTGACCCTGGCCGAACCCATTGGAACAAGGTAAGCAGTTTTGTTTTACCTTGATAAATTAGTTAGAAGTAAGATAAAGAATATAAAATAATAATATGCTGTATGAGTGGGATCATTTGCCACAGGCACTGCTAAACTGCCTTATTTCCAGTATGACATCACGTTGCGAGGCCTCTATGGCTGTAAGAGGGGACCAATACCCCCTATTAACCCATTTCTTTTGTGTCTTCTGCAGCCGCTGTTTCAGGCCTTCAGATTCCCATGAGTGTTACACACGAACACGTGTGTCTATTATAACTGGTGAATGTTTATTTTTTTTTGTATTATATCAACCTATGTTCACACCAAATTTTATTAAAATCTGTCTAGCAGTTCTGGAGATCGTAGATCAAATATGAAAATTCTCTTAATTTCTTACACTAGTGTACATCACTTCCTGGGATCAACAATTCGGTTAATATGATCCAAATATATGGTATGAAATCTTTAAACTAAAATAAATTCGCCAAAAGAAAAAGATTAAAGTTAATAAGGATAAAATAGGTTATAAAATTGACAAATGGCTGAGAGATCTTGCCAAGTAGCAAAACAGCCTCATTTCGATTTCAGCCAACCATTTAAAATTACGCAAAAAAGCAGCTTAAATTTGACGCAAATTTTGAATCACTCTACCAATTGATTTTGAGGGCGATCAAACACTGGTCTCTCTTTTCAAGGAGGGAAAAAAATAAAATTCTTGAAAACATACACATCAAACGAAGATTGCTCTCTTACTCAGTTTTAAATTCCACATGGACGTGTTCTGTTCTAGCCAGGGGTTTCCCTCTGAATATTACGATTAGTATGAATCAAATATTTTCCAAAATGTTTTGAACAGTTAACAAAGGAACATTTATCAAACATTTCATAAAGAAAATTTTGTGTTTTCTTATTAAAATAAATGTGAGGGTTGCCCTCTAAATATTAAGATTAGGGACAATAAAATGATTTTCAGAAATGCTATGTACAGTTTATAAATAAATTTTTGCATTATGAAATTTTCATAAACAAGTTTTTCTCTGTTTTCCTAATTAAAATGAATGTGAAGGGTGCTCTTTGAACAGTAACACTAGGGTCAATCAAATAATTTTCCAGAAATATTATGAACAGTTCATAAGTGAACTTTTGAATTACGAATTGTTCATAAACAATCTTTTGTGTTTTGTTAATTAAAATAAATGTGAGAGTTGCCTTTTGCATAGGATCATTAAAGACAATCAAATAATTTCCAGAAATGTTATGAACATTTCATAAATGACCTTTTGCGTGATAGATATTATGAACAGTTTATGAACGATATTATGAACAGTTTCGTATATTCACAACTAAAATACTGTGAAAGTGCTTATATACTTCTAGCCATATTAACTTTAAATTAGATCAATTTTATTGCTGTTTTGAAGGGCATTTTTATTTCCCTGTACGAAGTAAAGGAAGTATTTGCAATCATCAAAAATTTCGAGTTTCTTATTTCAACGAAAATAGCCATTTTGACATGCAATTTAACGATGTTTTTGCGTGACATCTGTACGTAAGAATAGAATAAAGGACTTCTTTTCCCCAAACGAATTATAAAACTGATTTAAAACGGATTCAGAGGAGACTTTTTCGCTTGTACGTACATATGTACGTATGTATCTCGCATAAGTCAAAACCAGTAGCCTTAGAACGCTGAATTTTGTATATAGAACTTCTATTACTTTTAGTTGTGCACCTGCCTTTTTGGTTGTAATCGGCCGCACCAGAAGTATATATATATATACCCACGCCGTTACTCTGCTCAGTGAGCTCAGGTTTTTAATTCTTAAATGTTGTTAAATTATGCATTTGTTAGCTTAAAAAAATGATTGAATTATGTTGATCTTAGCTTCCGGTTACGGTTTTTTATGCCTTTAGTTAATCTTCATGCAATAGCTGTAGATTTATCATCAATTTAAAAGTTGTTTTAGTACGGATAAACCATTTTTTTACCATAGAAACCACACTTGTTTACACTTGAAACTTAGCAGAATAGTGAATTATGTCTTTCTTTACCTTCAGTGCCTTTTTACCGAACGAAACTAAAAAGAAACTTTTAGTTTTCTGCATCGAAAAATCTGCCTTCTGGCTGCTGGCCAAATTACTTGCTTTGCATGGAAACTGCAATTATAATTGTAAAAATTGCTTTTTAATTGTTTGAACTGTATTTGTTGTTCCATGTTTTTCTATATGTTTCAATTACTAATGAAGATATTTTGAGATTTTATATATTTTTTCCTTGTCGCGAAGTGAGAGCTGATTTAATTGAATGAGAAATCTATCTGTAATGAAATTCAAGGATATAAGTTTAAATGAAATGCAGCAAAAAATGCGTATAATTTAATATTCCGTACTAGAATGTCATATGGTGTACACGTCAGATTTTTAGTTCATCGTTTAATGTTATCATTCGGTTAATGTTATCTGAATAGTCATAGACAAACGGGATAACATTGAGAGGAGCTTACTGTAAACGCAATTTCTATCATTTCGTATATTTATATTTTAATTGTTTGGTGAATATTTGTTTATAAACGCATAATTATTCATAAAGATTAATGTAGTTAATTAATGTCCGCTCAGAGAAGCGCCAACCTGCGGTGCAGGCCCGTTTTCGATTGGCATGGCAATCAGTAACAATCGATAACCTGGAATAAAAATTAAGGCCCATTCTTGTTATTGCTTGGTAAAAAGGAGGAGTTATTATGGAAATAATTTATTGGAATTTTTTTTCGGAAACAATTTAAATCTAATGGAATTAAAAATCTAATAGCGTACTTAATTAACAAATGGAAATATTTTTACTTGCATATTATTTACTTGTACTTATTTTCCTATTTAAAAATGTCGCGTTAGAGACGCCATCTACGGAATGAATAAATAACTAAAAGCGGTAAATCACCTACTATATCGCTAGCCATTTATTGTAGGAATACTCCTAAGGATTGCAGATTAAAATTCCAGCCATTGAAATAAAATTAACATCATAGTAACTATTAAAGACGAATAATCTCATGGTGTAATTTTGAACATACGGTTTCATACAAAAATCATACTACATACAATATAATGTATAAATCATTAGCCTCTAGTTTTCAACAATTCCAGGTGGAGTTGTTTTTATTACAAAGTTCTGTGTTTATTATTATTATTATTTTTTTTTTAACTTTTTATTTTCAATGAGAGATGAGTCACTCTATTTTTTGGTTCTTAAGAGCAAACTTACGACTGTGAATAATTCCTATTTTCAATACCATATCAGTGAAAACTGTGAAATATTTTCATAATTATTTCAGTGTATGTGTTACATGAATGAAGTATAAATATACTACAGCAGAAATTCGTGACTTTAAAACAAAACGAAATACGGTATTTACCCGCATCTCCCTTAGGTTTATCCTTAGGTTCTGAAAATTTTTGAAGTATTCATGCAGTTTTTCCCTTCCACAGAGCGTTCAGAAAGCGATTTTTCCTAAATACTAAAATGGGTTCGTTCACATAGCAATTGCTTTCGACTTACTAATCGAGTTGTTCGTGGATTTTGGATGCAGGGGTTTTAACTGGTGAAGCAATATAATAATGAAGAGTTTTAAGGAAACGGGAATATCTAATGCTCATGATGGTTCTGAAGATCACTGGAGGTGGGATAATCTGAACGGTGGGAAGATAGTCTGAACGTACGAAAACGATGACAACGTCAACGACTCGCAAGATGCAGCAGACCACACAGACGGCAGTTCCAGCACCATTTGATGATCTGAGGCCTAAGGAGTAGCAGATGGCAACAATAAAGAGTGAGTGAAAATGAAAATACAGAAAGTAGAAATGAAGATGCCTCATTACATACTGGTAATGTTAATAGTACTATGCATTCTTGCTGGAATTTTGATAATTTGTTTCGCAGATATGAAATTAAAATTTTACAAATTATTTAAAATTAAATTAAAAAATTTTTTGCCGCTCTCTCGAGTACGTTTTAATTTTAATATGAATCATACATACCTGTCCAACACAGCGGGGATTCTCCGTATCCGATATATCGTATTGTCTAATATCTCCATGCAGCCAGTTGCTGATATATAAATATCGGTCATCTAATGATATCAGGATATCCGTGATTAATCCTGGAAAAAAAATCATGAAAGGTCTTAAAAATTCAAAAATAGGTTCAAAAAAAGTCTGAAAGGTTTCAGATTTTAAACAACGTCCAAAGGGGCTTTTTTTTAACATTTTGTGCTACCTTTATTTATTAAATATCATATTCTTCGCATAAAATTCAGTTCAAAAGCAATGTCGCAAAATAATTTTAAAATGAGCCTATCTTCAGAATTTCCGATATACAGTCGATCGTGCTGGAGACAAAAATGTTTTTTTCTGTACAACGTTACCATGGCTCGCTTTGAAATCGTTCAGTTTTTTAATCAAAAATTCCTTAAAGTTTTACAAAATATGAAATCGATCATAAAACAAATTCTAAATTTCAAATTTGGGCTTCCAGATGCCCATATTCGCAAGAGGATTACGTTATTCAAAATTCGATGGCTCTAGGTACCGTTGTTTTTTCACATTGCGAGAAACATACATACATTTTTGCAGATTCTTTATTATTTAATTTGTTTAAATATAATACAGGGCGATAATATTCGGTGGCAACAATTTGAAAAGTGAAACAGCGCTTATAATAAATCGACGCAAAATGCCAAAACGAAATTAATAGTTCTTCTGGGCAAATTGCCTCTTTGGACTAAAAACGCCCGTTTGGAAGTAATTTAAAATCTGAAACCTTTCAGATTTCTTTTATTAATTGCACTTACGCCGTATAGAAATGAAGAGCCAAATTACAAAAATTTTAAAAGCAGCACAGCAGCAGACGTTTATAATTTTCCAATACAGTGTTAAATGTTTGTCCATATCTATATATATATATATTTTTCTTCAGTGCTTTCTCACTTTACAATATCAATGCTCAGGATTCCTACTCAAGATGGCTTTACAAAACTTTTTTGTCTCATTATTATGAACGTTTTGTGCGTTTAGTTATTAAATATTATATTCTTTGCGCTTACCCCACATAAAATTTGATCCAACACCAAAATCACAAAATATTTAAAAACAGCATAGCTTCAGAATTTTCGATAAACATTCTCGCGAGCTGGAGACAAAAATGTTTTTTTCCCCTACACTGTTTACACTGCTCGCTTTGAAATCGTTGAGTTTTTTTTTAATGAAAAATTCGTTAGAATTTTACAAAATAAGAAATAGATAATAAAACGAATTCGAAATAAAAATTTCGGTCTTCCAGGTGACCATGTTCGGACGGAGGACTATGTTTTTCAAAATTTGGTGGCTCTAGGTACTGTTGTATATCCACAGTGCAAGAAACAAGCATACATTCATGCAGCTTTTTCATTATTTAATTTCTTTAAATATAATACACAGCGATAATATTGGGTGGCAACGATTTGAAAAATGATACGCCGTTTATAGTGATTCAACGCAAATTGGCGTTTGGAAACTAATATCCCATTCGGATATTAGTATTCGGATATTATTAACATCCTAACATCCCTTTTGGGCTAAAGAAAAGGTAAATAATTTCCTGCGATTGTAAGCCATCATTATTTTTTCTTTTGTTAAATTTCACCCAAATATGCTAAGGTTCTAGTAATAGGAAGGTATACATTTCCTGTGGTAAAATCAGAGAAGCAGAACTAATTCAAATAAATTAAATTGCAAAATTATCAGTATAGGCATACTTAAGAGCAACATACTTAACACAACAACTGAGTTTAAAAAAGGAATTCTTAGCATCCTTTCGACTTCCATCATTACCTGGCATATCGGGAAGTATCCAGTTCTTCACCTTTTTCGGCGGGATTTTAGCGACACATTCTGCAGTCCAGCTTTTATTCTAGGAATACAGAAAGTTAATTTTTAGAAATAAGAACATTTATTTATACTGCAGTTATACGAAAGGAGTTCTAGACACAAACTCAGACGTTTTAAGCTCTGATTTTAATAAAACTTGCAGGTAATAAAACTTTCTTTCACTAAAAACACATTATAGGAACATAACACAAGTTAATTCAAAAATGTGAAATATACACGGTGTTTGGAAAACATCTGGCAGAAATGTAAGAGCAGGTTGAAGGGACCAAAGTAGACTTTGTAATGAAATATATGTACTCAAACGGCGGGCTGAAGTGCGCTGAGTGGGGCATAAAAGCATTCTGCTGCCGTGAACTGTTATTTTCCATGCGAATTTCGATTATTAGGCATCTTTATCTAAAATCGTAGTTCGCCGACATGTATTTTATCTGTAGGGCTGCAGAAGGAAATCAGCTGCCCTACAGAAATTTTATCTGTAAGGCAGCTGATCAAAGGAGGTATGCAGGAATGGTTCACAGTACCTCTTTAGAAGTTGCTATGTTTTAGTAGCGCATACTCACCTCTCGCTACAATAATTTTAATTGCAAACATCAGGAATAAGGAGTGAATGAAGAGCGGTTAGCGAGGACGGAGCGAGGAGCAAAGAGAATCGAACGATCCGTGGGATCGGGACAGTCGACTCAATCAAACTTAACTCCTTGAATTGATTTCTGTCAACTGTAGTTCTGAGATTTCTTAAAACCTCCGTACTACATAGAAATAACAATAAAATTCTATAATAAAAACTTTTTCAAAAACGTTAGGAAATGATAAAAATTAAACTCAGTTTTAGAATAGAAGATCAAGCATTCTTTCCTCCCCTAAAATAGGAATCGAACTTGGCACGCTTCCAACAAGAACTCCGCTCGTTTTTGACAAATCAGACGTTCGCTTGGTAAGTAAATGGAATAAGTTCATGAACGAAAAGCATATATCTATTCCACATGGAATGGGATTTACGCGAACTGAAGGCTTTTATCTTCTGCTCGACAGCGGTGGTATACCTTAAGGTGTGATTTTGGCACACATATTCCATTACAAAATCTGCTTTTTCAATCTATTCTATTTCCTTTTACCTTTTCCCAGATTTTTCCGAGTACCCTGTATATTGTTGATTCAGAGATCCTACACATCTTCTGAATAACTAAACTGACTGACTATCTGCTGGAAAACCTGTATATTGTTGATTGAGAGATCCTAACAGATCTCCTGAATAACTAAACTGTGTAAGACTGAATACCAGTCAGTTCAGTTAACAAGCCCTCCATAAAAGCATCCCTGCGCAGAGCAGATATTCCTCAATTGCTTCGCCTTATTTCAAATATTCCAGTCATTCCAGAAAGAACTTTTTGTTGCATGTTGTTTTATAAAAAAAAAAAAAATTCATTTAACTTACTTCATCTTGATGGAATCTGAAGATGGTGGATGACAAAGCACATCCTACAAACCCGACGCTTGCTTCGGGATTGTGAAGAAATCGTACTTCGAGAGGTATCTGACCATTCTCGCCAAGATCCAGTCTTTGGAAGGGCTTCCTTTCGCGCCAGTTCCAAAATGTTATGCTGTGACCATAAAGACCTGCATATAAATATTATCATACATCATTAAATAATATTATCAGACATAAACAAAACCTCACAAATGACTTCTAATTATGATCGAACTTTGATACATTCTGCAATCTCTAATCACCTTATATTTTCAGTGATAAGAATTGAATGAAAGTTAAACTAATACATTAAAATGTATAGGTATTTGACCTGTTAACGAGATACCACTTTTTGGCCGAACTTTAACTGAAGATAATAACAACTATCCTAAAGATGTGTGCACCTGAATAAAAAGAGTGGTCACAGTATTAAGTCCAAAATATGTACAAAAAAAAAAAGAGAGAGAGAGAGAGAGAGAAATATATACAATCATGAAAAAAAAAAACCTTAGTAACTGTTTCAATCTACACTTGTACAGAGTCTGTTCACACATCTTTTAGACGATGTATACTGTATTCACAAAACTAAATTACATAAAATTCTTGTGTTTTAAATGTTCTATTTGACATCCCTTATTCTGAACTATCTTTCGACACCGCAATTTCCAGGATAATAATGCCTTTTGAAGTGGCAGATGAGATATTCTATCCCATTCCTCCCGAACAGCTTTCCAGAGTCCTGTTAGGGTTTTGGGACAACGTTTGAATAATGCAGTTTTTAAAAGTCCGAAAGCACAAAAATCCATAGGTGACACATCGGGAGATTTAGTAGGCACATCAGTGAAGGGTATGGCCTTGATACCAGTTGTTTGTTCCATTTCTTTAGGGAATTTAAAGTGGATTTTGATGTGTGATTGCTAGCTTTGTCCTGATGGAGTCTCACAAATTGATGGCACTGTGGGTAAAGCGATGGTATTTCATTCAGAACAATTGGCGATAAAATATGTTCCTGATAGTATTTTGGAGTCAATCTTGACATTTTTTTGCACTCTCTTTATTTTTAACTTGCCATTATAAGAAAAACCAGCAACAATCATAAATCCCTTAGAAAACCTTTCTTTCGATTCTTTGAACCATGTACTTAAATTTTTTTCTCCAATTTTATGATAATAAAGGGCTTTTTTTTTTTTTTTTTTTTTTTTTTTTGTTACAATCATTTAAATACACCCATGCTTCATCTATTGTGACAATTGTTTTCCATTTTTCTTTGAATAAGTGTTTCTCATATAGAATTCTGCAGCGTGTCCTGCGTTGCTTTGGAAGAATACGATGCACATTGCGTTCTTTCGCTTTCTTAAGATTTAAATCAACGTTTATCATTTTGTTTACAGTGGACACCGAGCATTTTAATGATTTTGCAACTGTCCTTTGACTAGGGGGATTTTCTTTTAACATTAAACAACGTACCTTTGCAATAGTCGAAGATGTCCGTTTTTTCCTTGGATACTTGTTTGGAATTTTCGTCCTACTTGAGGCTCCAATTTGACGTTTTTTTCCTTTCTTGTTGACGACATTACCTATCGACGCTTTAGATATCACAAAGCCATGACTCTCACATCGTTTTTGGATAACGGAGTATGCATATTTCTCTTCGGAAAGAGCGTAAATGTAGCCTTCGAAGCACTGCTTTGTTAAATTCGCCATTTTCAATAAAAACAAAACTTTCAAGCCAGAGACGATATTTTTGACTTTTAAAAACATAGTACAATTGCAATCATTTCTTTTGCAGCAAACGATTTTTATTACCGCTTACCAAAATCGTCTAAAAATGTGCGAACAGCCTCTGTAAAATGTTGTGTTTCATTTTTAATTTCGATTGATTGAATTCTACCAACATCCGTAAAAAATAAAGTAAACAAAAGTAAATAAGCTGCCAGGAAAGGAATGCGCAAATCTTCGAACCTTCTTGTTTTTAAACTTTTTTTTGGCCTACCAACGGTCTAGCGGAAAACTCGCTGGTCGTCGGATAACCGTCGGAGTTTTTTTTGTCTAACGTTAATACGAGCTAGTTTCCATTAAGAGGCTCTACAAGAAGCCCCCCCCCCGTTTTCATGGTGAACATACTTGTGTGATTCGCCATAATCTCCTCCCACAAAAAATCCGTGCAACACGATCTTCAATTGCGGCGCCAGTTTGGTACTTCAGTGATTATAAAACGCAATTTGAGTTTAGGATTTCTCTAACAAAATCTTTTAAACGGATGATTCCACTGCCTTAGAGAATTGTCCGCCCAGCTCGTAGAGTGGTTAATGATGTAAATCGATGAATTGTACGGGGAGAGTCAGTCAGTCTCTCGTCTAGCGAGTTGATAGTTAGTCAGTGAGCGAGTGTCTTGAAGTCTAGTGCCGAGTTGGTTGTCGAGTGCATCAAGAGAGTCTCTTAGTGTATCGCGAGTTAGTACATCGTCGAGTTTCATCTTGAGAGTGTATTGAGCTTCGAGAACAACCGAACCAGTCGGAGCTGTACTCCAGTGTATCGTCGAGTGCATCGCGTGTTGTAGCGTGGAGAATCTCGAGAGTACATAAAGTTCCGAGAGCGACCGACCAGAGTCGGGAGCTGTATTCTGGTGCTTTGACGTGAAGCTGTCTTCACCGTTATATCCTAATAGTATGTAGGCTGTGTCACTGATTGTTTCAGCGTGTTTACAGTAGTTCTTCGACGACTGTAAACGTGTTGTTGAAGCTGTTTGGAATAATACTGGCTAATAAATTGTGTTTCGATATTTCATCAAGTGTCGTCGTTATTCACTCCCAAATCCACGAACCCTAAACGTGAGGAGAAAAACGTAAAACTAATGTAATACAAATACTAGATAGACATATAGAATATTCAAACACTGTTACTACTAATTACGAATACAAATACTAAATACAGATGTAGATAATGGAATTCAACTTCCATTATCTACATCTGTATCTAATCCTGTAAATATTTTCATGTACAAGGCGTATTTTCTGGCACAGTGATGTATTATACAGTTTTTAGCATCTGCCGATCAACCCCGTTATGCTTCAGATTCTGAAACAATTGTGGCCAGAAGCTTATGGTTGGCTGTTTCAGTCTGATGTTTGTTACAACTAGGAGGAGAACACAGACTCATAGCTGCTGTCCTCTCTGAGATCAAAGCCTCTAAGATAATTAGGAAAATGGCCATGCCCGGCGATAAACTGTGACAGATTGCTCACTACATGCGGTTCCAGTGATATTTTGTGAAGAAATTTATACATCCGACAACCTGTCGTGGCCTGGTCCCATTACTCAGTCTGTTTACAGACTAATTTTTGAAGAGTCTGCCTCTTCAGAAATGTGATCGGCTTTTATGATGGAGCTTCTCTTTAAAGTAGAGTTCGCCGCTTCTTAGGCAGCATGTCCACAAACTCATTGCCTGTAATTCCCGTATAAGCAGGAATCTAACTAAGATGGTTCTTCGTGAGACTGGCTTTCGTAACAGGATGCCTCGAAAGCTCCGTTCGGTGAGATTCCTCAAACTGAGCCCGGCTATTGCTGCTAAGTTCGAGGCAGAATCGGTGTAAATGTGCTTGAAAACATTAGGATGTTTTCTGATGCATAAAAGTGCAAATCTATTGGCAGTTGATTCAGCTTGCAAAACTGAGTTTCCGAACCCTAATTTCTTTCTCCATACACGTGTCAGGTCTTGCTGTATGAGAACATAAAACCCGCTCCCAGTGTCTTCTAATGTTTTGGAGGCATCCGTGTATACACTTTCTGGTGCACTGGTTTTCAGTGTTCTGTTACGGTGAATGTTCTGGACAATATTGTTTTCAGCTGAATGGCAAGGGAAATGAGACTTATGCTGCTCATAGTCTGTAAGAACCTAGACTTCCCTGTAAAGATTCTTGGTTCGCCGCAGGTGGGAAACATTTACTGCAGCCGCGCTTCTCTGCAGTTACTGATGCTGACTACTGATGGACCGGGTTAGAATCCCGGACAAGGTTTTGCAATTTCGTAATCACAGCGATTCCCCGACCTCCCTCCGATGAATTTCTGATTCTGGGACTAACTGAAATCTAAAGTGTATAGATCAATGTCGGATTTAAAAGATGCCATGAAACGTGATCCTCTTACGCCGATGCGACGTCATAGCCATGTCCAAGTAACAAACTGGTTATGTCCTTTCGCCATCTTCTATCCTGCCCTCCTGAACTTACTATACTGCACTAATTCTACTTCAAGCGGCCACACGAAGTTCTGACTGCTGTACACAGCATGAACTCTTCATGCTAATTTCGGCATACAGCGGAACTTGAAGTTGGAGTGATCTTCTTGCGGTGTTACGTACGTCATTTTGGCAACAATTTCCCACATGCAATGCTTTATCGTCTGTGAAGGTGGGCATGTTGAAAACTTGTAATTCCAATAAAAAAAATTTTCTCTATCTACTCTTGTGTTGTCATTAGTCTTTGCAATACTCTTCTTTGTAAGTATTTTATGCTGGCAATTTCTGCACACAAGTATCTTTCCAACGCCATTTGTGGTGTTTCAATGCGTTGATTAATTTGCACAGGAAAAAGGTGGGTATTACCACTCGAAATTTTTAAAATTTGTTCACTGTAACTGTGAGCGTGATATATCTATTGTTTCAAATCATCCCAATCTGGAGCGCATACCTTCGAATCACAGTATCTGAAATTTTATTTCGATTAGTTGATCCGATAGGCCGCTAGGTGTTGATACGTGGGGGAAGTTTTTCATGACCACCCTGCAAGTGAGGTAAAAGGGAAAAATATTCGGACAATTTATCCATCTCGCCGGTACTCAGTTTCAATTTCAACAAATTAATAAGCGTAGTTTAATACTTTCCGCTATTTCTATATTTGAAAGGCCGCTATGCGTTTTTGATTGCAATCATTGAATAAAGGACGATTAACGAATTTTGAATGCAGATAGATACAAAAGGACATCAAGCAAAGTCTGGCTATACATTCTTTGCTCCTTAACTAATTTGAATTAATTAGAATGAAATATTATGGAAATATTGCGAAGGTTAATGAAAATTTCCTATTTATGACAGATTGAATTAATGTTAATTACAAACATTAAATTACATGTGATAGTTACATAAAATGATGACAGTCATGTGCACATTTAAACATTATCTGAATTCATATTTACAATACTTTTACTGAGATAATCAAAGTTAACTTCTAACTCATTTACACATTGATTGAATTTTCTATGTCATTTTAAACTGCTTTACAATATTATTTTTATCAATTACATACAAACTGGATGCGTGACATCTGTACGTAAGGACAGAATAAAGGAGACTTTCCCCCAAAAAATTATAAAACGGATTTAAAATGAATTCTGAAGGAATATTTTGTAACTCATCTGTACTTACGTACGTATGCATGTATCTCACATAACTCAAGCATGAGTAGCCTCAGAACGTTGAAATTTTGTATATATGACTTCTATAATATGTAGATGCGAATCTCCCATTTTGGTTGCAATCGGCCGCATCAAAAGTACATAAATATGTGTATATATATATCCACTCTGTTACTCCGCTCAGTGAGCTCAGTTTCTTTATTCATTATGTTTGTAAATTGTGCACTTTTTGCTTTAAAAATGATTGAATTACACAGTTCTTATTTTCCGGTTAAGGTTTTTATGCCTTTAGCTAACCTGAATGCAACAATTGTGGAATTATCAACAATTTAAAAGTTTCTAAGTGCGGATAAGGCCTAATTTTGTTTAGCATAGTAGTAATACTTGCTTATATTTGAAACTTAGCAGAATAGTGGATTCGCTGCCAATCTAAGATAAGCGGCGGTGAATCGTCTGTGAAAAACTGTTTCTTTTTATTTGTTTAATTTCTTTCAGATGTCGTTTTAGATTTATTATTGTATTTGAATAGAACATGTGGTAATCCTTCAGATAATATAATTTTTGAGCACTTTGAGTTATAAAATGAAAGAGATGTAACGGTGTTAAGTGAACCTAGCGCCGAAGTATCGCTATGGTAAATAAATATAGTGAACCTTAAAGAGCGCATTTATTCTATTGTGGTTTATGCGCTGTGGATGAAAGAGATTTAATTCAAAATTCGTTAACTGTTAATTCAAGATGTTTAAATGAAATGCGGCATGAAAATTGCGTATCATTTAATATTCCGTACAAGGAATTCATGTGGTGTAAACATCAGAGTTTTATTAGTTAGTTTATGTTGCCGGTTATGCCAGTTCGGCAGTATGGCTTCATTATTCTTAGGTTAGGTTCCTTAATTAAATCAATAATTGCAGGAAAATATGAAATTATACCATTTTGCACATCTTCGAGGCTAAAACCCTTTCTGAAAGTTTTAGGTGCAGCCCATTCTGTACTGACCATGATATTGTGACGCGGCTGGTACCAGTAATCATAATTATATTCTGCAGCGTCACCTTCAGCCTCCCACGTTCCTTTCACTTTGAAGGTACCCTGTTCCAACAACACAAATGTACCTGAAAGAAATACAAAACCAATATAACATAATCTCAGATTTGTAAAATACAAATACTGTAAAAATTTAATGGACGATTCTTCTCATTTACAAAGATGAGAGGTAATTCCATGTTTCTTTTCTCATTACATAGATCTTTATCTATGTAACAGATAAAGATTGCATAGATCTTTATATATGCAACAGATAAAGATTACATAGATCTTTATCTATGTAACAGATAAAGATTACATAGATCTTTATCTATGTAATGAGAGATTCATTACACATATCTTTATCTATGTAATGAGAGATACATTACACATATCTTTATCTATGTAATGAGAGGATGCATTTTTATAAATACTTTTAATATACATTTTTGTCTTCCTGTTTCCATCCCAAAAGGGCCATTAGTTTCAAAACACAATTTTGCACCGTTTCACTTTCACTTTTGTTTGTTGTTGTCATCCACTGTTGTGCTATTGCACTTTCCATTGAAGTCTATTATCATTCGGCAAAATGTAAGATATTTATCTTCTTATAAACATTACTCCTTCTTATAAACATTTATTATTTTAAGCAGTTCTTATAAACATTATTTTTGACTTTTTAATAGAGTGGCTTAAAATTAAAATGCATTTAATTCATGATTTCTGCTTAAACACATTCAATATTTTTATAGATGACATTAAATATTTTTCCACTTTTCAACTAAATAGAAGGTATGAAATCTTCCCATGCTAGTCTAAATGTACATTTATTTAGTATCTTATAAAATGGTTCGTTACTCCACCTGGACCATCTCCCTCGATAATTCGTACCTATAAGCAATTTTAAACATCAAAGAGCCCATTTTGGAAACTGTTATAATCTGAACCCTTTCAGACTTTTTATTAATTTTTTTTAACTTTTTGCCAGGCATTATAATAAATTTTACAGTTTGAAATTATATTTTTATCTTCTTATTAGATAATATTTACAATATATTTACTGATAACAGGATGATTATTTACAGTGAAACCGCTGAGAAGTAAATCACTGGATGTCAGTCAAACAGATATACAGCATTCTTGTGAGAAAAATAAAATTCGCTGTATACGACTCCAGCCAAACTAAATGAAGTTCTACTCCAGCCTTTTTATTAAATTTCTACTACTAACTCACACTCTCCCTATATCTTGTTCAAATTTTCAATCGTTAATAAAGTACTTTTTATTCATCCACTCAAGTTCAAATACATTTTTTTAAACATGTAGTGGATGACACTTGATGTTAATACAGTTTTTTCACATATTAAAGTTAATTAAAATTTAAAACTTCACATATATAAAATTTCACATATTAGAAATTAACATATTTGACATATTAAGACTTACAAATAACGACCGTTTATTAGGAATTCTGACGTGCTGTAAAAATTAATTTTATAACAACTTTAAATAATAGTACAATGACTTAAACTTAACTTTAAATAATAGTACAATGAATAAAATGGGATTGTAATATTTAACAAAAAATAAGTGGCAACAGTAAGACAGAGTTCTAAAGATTTTTAAAGTGTATGGAATGAAATAATTGTAGTTTTATGGAGTTGGATGAAGCGGGTGTAATGTCCCGTTATGTAGCGAAAATTCTCATATGTAGGAATTGACTTTAAAAACTTAATCAGATCTTTTGAACTATGATTCTCTGACTTCTGCTCCTTTGACCATGATTTACTTTTACAGAATAAGTTTAAGAAAAGACAGTAATAAACGTCATACTTGAAAAATCCTTCCGAATATGCATATTTTAATGGAAAACGCTTTACATTGTTTAAAACAATTAGTCGCGTGAGGACTAATTGTTTTGAAACTTTTAAAATCTCCAAGTGAGACAGACAGAAACTAAAACATTTCCAAAGGCAAATAAATAGACAAAAGACCTAGACAGAATGTAATCCGAATAGAAGCTTTATCGATATACAAATTGGTATCTTAATATTAGACAAGGCGAACGAACATGTGTTCCGTAAACGATCAATGATGTTGCCACTAATTTATTTCTTATTATTGACCTAAGCTGGGATTATCAGTTCCGTCTCGATATTCATTCTGGGCCTATAATTGGTTTGAAATATGGATTTTGCTAAATATGGATTTCGCGTAACACATGCCGCAAAGAGAATAGAAATTCCACAAATTACAACGAAGCAAGATTTTTCGGAAATTCTCTTTTTTAATGCTCCTAATGGGACATTTCTATGATACTCATAAAACACCATAAACCAGAAAACGAATAACTTCTGCTTTCTTTCTCGGCAGATGTAGTCAACGGATGGCGCAAAATGCTGTAAATATTTACTAATGAGACAAACTCTGGAAAACTTTCTGCCTAAAAAGGATCTGCAAATAAATTATGATATGAAGTATGCACTTGCTTTTATCGGTCTAAGGTTGATTCTAAAATACACAATTAATAAAAGTCCGTCAGCTTTCAGATTTTATATTACGCCAGGTTTCGAGAACATTTGGGCTAACGCTAAAAATATTTAAAAGCAGCACGTCTTTAGAATTTCCGATAGACAGTCTAGCGCGCTGGAGATAAAAATATTTTATTTCGTACAGTGTGTTGCCACCGCCCGCTTTGAAATCGTCGACTCTGTTATTAAAAAATACGTTAAAACTTTAAACAAATATGAAATAGACAATAAAATAAATTCGAAGCTCAAGATTCGGACTTCCAGGTGCCCATATTTGGGTGGAGGACCACATTGTTCAAAATTTGTTGGCTGCAACTACTGTTATTTTTCACAATGCGAAAAATGTACATACATTCACGCAGATTCCTCATTATTTAATTTCTTTAAGTACAATAAAGGACGATAATATCGAGTGGCAGCAATTTGACGTTTCGAGATTAATGTTAGGCTAATAAAATAAAATTAAGAAAAGCTGTTCTTCCTTACCTTAGTTTTTCAGTTTTCTAAAATAGAATACTACTAATAATAAAAAACAAAAAATATCATTTTTAGTGAAATCTGAAAGTTAATTTAATTTAATTTAGTTTGAGTGTAATTAAGTTAAATTCAACTAAGCGTTTAAATTTAAGTTTTAAAATTCGTATCACATTTTTACCTTTTCCATTTCCATGTTCATCACCCATGCAACTAATCATTATGTCACCCCACGGCACACAGTGTACGGTATGCGGCGCGCCAGCTTTCGCTTTCTCGTGCAATTCATTTGGTTCAATCACCTGCATTAATAAGAAATGTAAATGTATACTTTTAAGAAGACAGACATAATAATATGTTGAATATGATTGGCGCAACAAAATCAATATAATACTAAAAAAATTAAATAATAAAGTTTCTATAAAATAAGCTTTTATTTTATCAATCATTTATGAACTGAAGGAGAGAAATAATTTATTACATAGTTTAATGGTTAAAAGATTAGCTTTTTCTTTGCATTCTAACGTTTTTAGTAGTTCAAACAATAACTATTGCGCGATATTGTGATACTGTACGAATACGTTTAAGGAAAATTCCAGCGTTTTGTTATATTTCTTGCGAAAAGAATAAATTTTATTAACCTTTTATCCGACTTATGCATTCAATCGGTTACGAAACCGTACACACGCAGCAATACCATGAAAAATAAACGAATGAGCGCCTAATCTCCATTGCTTTACCGATTTATCATATAAAAGGGCATATAAATTTTTTAAAGAGTATTATTTAATATCGTGCTCCTGTTAAACTATTTATAAATAATTTTCCTCTTTTTAGTCTATTAAAGGTTTTATTCCTTTAAAATAAATGGTAATAAATGCTGGCTGCATGGGTGTTTTCGTGGTTTTCCCATGTGTAACGTGTATACGAGCCAGTTTCCCTAAGAAAGTCCTCCACGAAGGCATCCCTCCCCTTAGGCAAATAGCCCTAGTGTGCTTTGCCATAATTAAATACACCACTCCTTTAAAATAAAAGCTCATTTTAGAAAATCCTTTTTTTATTATTATTTTTTATTTTCATCTTTTTAGTCTCAATGACACATCATTAATCAAATTATTCAATTTAAAAATCCATTTTTAATAATTAATAATCATTCCTTTACTTTCGCTAACTCCGTTACATCAAACGGTCGAAAACATCCAGCCATTTTGCCAAAGGTATAAGGTTCTAATTGTGTAGAAGTTTAAATCAATGTCCTTCGGACCCCACCAGCGATAAGCGAATAATTTCTCATGTCTGAATTAAGATAACAAAGTTTAGGTTAAAATAACCTTCTTATTAACATTTTAGCAGAATTTACCACTTCTGCTTACAAACAAAATACCGCCACTTGAGGGTATTTAAAATAACACGAGTTGAAATTCAAATTCAAGTAACGTAGTCAAAGACTACACTAAATCCTGTGTTTACATTGTGTTACATACGAGTACTTTAGCGTTGCGTTTTAAAGTCTGCTAACGAAAAGTTTAAAACAAAGTGTTCGTTCCCACAGACCAATAAGGAGTAAACAATTTTCAAAAATAATCTGAAAGGTTTCAAATTTTAAATTACGTCCAAAGGGGCGTTTTTTTAACATTTTGTCGGTAACCTTTATTTATTAAATATCACGTTCATCGCACTTAAACCATAAAATTCAGTTTGAGAGCAATATCGCAAAATAGTTTTAAATTGAGCATATCTTTAGAATTTTCCGATGCAGAGTCTCGCGCGCTGGAGACAAAAATGTTTCTCTGTACAACGTTACCATGGCTGGCTTTAAAATCCTTCAGTTTGTTAACCAAGAATTCGTTAAAGGTTTACAAAATATGAAATCGATAATAAAAGAAATTCCAAATCTCGAATTTGGTCTTCCACCTGCCCATATTCGTAAGAGGATTACATCATTGAAAATTCGATGGCTCTACGTACTGCTGTTTTATCACAATGCGAGAAATATACATAGATTTATGCAGATTTTTTATTATTTAATTTCTTCAAGTATAATGCAGGATTCTCTGTAACATGATTCTGAAGCATCATTCGTAACATTTGGTGGCAACAGTTTGAAAATTGAAACGGACCTTTATAGTAAACCAACGCAACATCGCAAAACGAAAACAATAGTCCTTCAGGGACAAAAAAACCCTTGGACCAAAAAACCTGCGCACGCTTTTCTGCGTCTACAGGTCTTCAGCTGGCTTTCTTCGCTGTGACCGGCAGGTTTCTTATGCCATCTTGAAACGGCCTCTTTCGTAATCTCATTTTATCTGCAAATCAGCAACAAAGGATCAAATGAAATGTTGTGACGCATGATTGCATAAAAAGGTACAAGCACATTACTTTATCTATGCGAGGAGCTCTGGGATCCGTTCCTGTATCGATAATATGAATCCGGTCTGAGTTAAGTCCGGGCACAATCAATCTGTTTCGACGCACGCTGCAGTCTCGACAGCTGCTGCAAGCATTCCATCCCATATGATGAAGCTCCTCCCCGAGGTTTGGTACTTCTAGTCTGTGGATTATCTGTAACGGAAAACATGCACACGTTACATACATTAGCTGTATTAACGAATCATTACGTTGAAAAATACAATATATAAAAAGCATATTATTATGATAACTACAAGTATATAATACAGGAAAAGAGTCATATATACACCGTGTCTACAAAAGTCCTTGCCCGGCCATCATTTTCGCTGCCGTTGCTCGTTGGTACACATCGGTATACGTCATTATCCATTCCAGATCCTTGGAAGTGTACCAAATGAAAATTTCTAGTAAAAAAATCTGATGTGTACACCATATGACTTCCTTGTACGGACTATTAAATTTTACCATTTTTTCTTGTATTGCATTTAAACTTATTGAATTGAATTAAATCTTTGTTGTTGCGAAGCTTAGTCTCTCTAAATTGGCAACAAACCTACTATTCTGCTGTTTCAAATGTAAACAAATATGTCCGCCATGTTATTTAAAAATTAGGCTTAACCTCACTTAAACAGCTTTTAAATTGTTGATAACTGTACAAATATTGCTTGCAGATTTACTAATTGCATAAAAGCCTTAACCGGAAGATAAGAACAACATAATTCAATCATTTTTAAAGCGAAAAATGCACAATTTACAAACATAATGAATAAAGAAACTGAGCTCACTGAGCCCGGTAACGGAGTGGATATATATATAAATATATTTATATACGTTTGGTGAGGCCGATTGCAACCAAAATACGAAGTGCACATCTACATGTTATAGCAGTCCTATATATACAAAATTTCAACGCTCTGAGGCTACTCCTTTTTGAGTTAAGCGAGATACGTACAAACGCCACGAAAAATTCTCTTAAGAATTAATTTTAAAGCAGTTTTATAATTTTTTGAAGGAAAATAGTATTTTATTTTGTCCTTACGTACAGATGTCACGCAAAAATATCGTTAAATTGCATTCGAGAGTGGTCAAAATGGATATTTTCGTTGAAATATGCTGACTAAAACTTTTCGCGATTACAATACTTCCTTATGACTTCGTACAAGGAAGGGGAAAATAATCCGTTCTTATAAAAAAGTCCTCATGTTATTATTATAACACTGTTTCACACTGAAATACAAATACTCTGGTGAATACATATTTTATATTGATGAAGCATGCACACATGATATTGTTCATAAATGTTTTTCTGCTATCCATAAAGTCTCTGATCTTTGTTTGGTAAGCTGTTCCCCCCCCCATCGCGATGTTAGCGGATTTAAATAGGATCTTGTTTTCTCACAATCGCAGACAACATTGTCCTCGAAGGGGAGCTTTTTTCATTTGCACACACATACAAGTTCCGACAGCATTTGGGCTAATGTCCCTTTTGAATAAAAACATTTAAAAACAGCATATCCTTAGAAATTCCGATAAACAGTCTCGCGCGTTGGAGATAAAAATGCTTTTTTTTTTTTTTTTTTTCGTACAGTGTTACCATTACTCGCTTTAAAAATCGTTGAGTTTGTTAATCAAAAATTCGTTAACGTTTTACAAAATATGAAAAAGGCAATAAAACAAATTCCAAATTGGGTTTCCAGGTGTTCATATTCAGGTGGAGGACTATGTTATTCAAAATTGGATGGCTACAGGTACCTTTATTTTTCTACATTGCGATAAACATACATATATTCATACAGATTTTCATTATTTAATTTCTTTAAATATAATACAGGGCGATAGTATTTGGTGGTAACAATTTGAAAATTGAAACGGACATTTATAGTGAACCGAAGCAAAATACCATTTCGTGACTAATATCCCTTCTGGGCTACGCCTAAAAATATTGTACAGATTCCATCAAACAATTTTCTAGAAAAAATCTTTTAAAAGTTATATTTTCTTGTGGATGTTTTGTACGAAGGATCTGCCGAATTTCTGAATCATTAGTAGCGGTAAGAACTAAACTGCAGTGGTCTGTGAGCGGAACGGAAAAAGCATTTAATACATCAGAAACACTTAATACCTACTATAATCCAACTAACCTTTCTATGATACAATTAAAAAAATTAAAAACCGATTCGAAGTCCGAATGGATGAGAAATTTATGGCAATTGGTTATTTTTAGATGTGTTAAACTACGTTACTTTTCGAAAATTTCGAGAATCCATAAAATTTCAGAACAACAGATAAGGCGACTTGCTTGCCGTGGAAAAAGCATGCTGGGGAATTACGGAATAGTTCTGAAGTAAAAGATTTGTGTCTGTGTGGCGCAGATTTAAGAAGAATCCGAAGTTTCAAGAGTATTACACAGCTGTGATATATCCAACTTTTACAATATGGCACCGGAAAAGAATGGGAATACTTAACTGAAAAAAGGTATTTTATACCTGATCAAGCTGAGATTAAAGAAAATAAAGACCCCACAAAACTCGTGCTGTCTTCGACACATCGTCATATGTTAAAAACAAACTGTCATTGAATGATCGTTTACAGTCAGAAGTTTTTCTCCATTTGAAACTTGTTTCATTACTTCTAAAACAACATAAATATTAACTTGTGGCTTTTAGAAAATCTGGTTACGTCCTCCTGGAATCTAAACAGCGTCACTTGAAAACTAATCCGCATTATGTCATCTGTCATCGTCTCCATTCGCAGTTAATTTATGAATTTAAGAATTTAATTCTATAAATACTCTAGCTGTTTAATACGCACTTTACTTGGCCTGTCTTCCTCTTGCCCTGCTAGGGCCTGTTTCCGTATTTCGTTGTATAGCTTTTTACATCGCTACTAGACAGCAGTCCATCGGCGACACAGTTTACAATGGTGTACAGAAAACAAAGACCAGTGTTACTGGTTTTAATTCCAATCAAGCTTTTGCTATTCCGAATATAGCATCAAATAAAGTCAACTTTTTCCCATTCTTCATTAAATTATCATTTTCCTCAGTAAGAGTTATGAGAAGACCAAACCGTCAGTGGGCACCGGCAAGCACGGATAATCCATAAGCCGGAAAATCAGTACCTGGATAATCGAGAGTACTCCTTTCTATTTAGAAAAACATTTTACTCATGATTAAAAAAATAAAATACGAAAGCTTTTATAACCGTACAACAAAAATTGAGAGAGAGATTTGGTAAGATCATATTCAAGTAGTGGAAATCATCTTTAGGTGCCGCACGTAAACTGAAGAGCGAAATATTTTCATTTGTATTCAGATAAAATATAAGTTCAGGAAAAATTGCTTTTGATGTTAGGAGATTAAGTGCTTAGCATTTCTGTGCAGTTTGTGTTGAAACAATACTGATCACTATAAATATTTTCTAGCAAGAAGAGATCTTTTTATCAACATTATTTTACAGAATTTGGATAACACCTTATCAACGGAGTCACGTCCTCTGAAGCGATGATAGTCGTTTCAGTCTGACAAATCATTCTCGGCGGCATTTGATACGGAGAGAGGTAAGGATAAGCTTTCATCCCACTATCATCACTGAAAGAGTCCGCTGGGGTGGTTCTAATGTGCTTGAACAGATGGACATTATAGAATGAATGGACAGATGGAGTTCCACATTTTCGACAGAGGTTTACATATTACAGATCATTACTGTAATGAAGTTATTCTCTCACGCGTGCGTCTTTTCCAAGGTGCATTGGTACCGACTTTGTGACAATGTACAGCCACACAGAACTCATGTTGTTGACAGCCCTTAAAAAGTGAAAGATGTCCACAGAATGTGCTGGCCAACCTGATTCTCTGATCCCATTGAACAAGATACTTCAGAAAGGTGCCTGTCTTCGGAGAACAACAGACAACTGAAACAGATGCTCCTTGAAGAATGGGAAGTCTTACCCCAAGAACTGTTATATAATTTGGTGATGAGTGTCGGCAGATGGTGCAAAGCAACCATAGCAATTAGGAGAAGTTATATCCCTTAATAAGGATCTTTGGTTTGTTGTTCTCCCAGATCCAGATCCTACGCCTATTTGAGTGATATACATGGTCTTAAAACCACTACACAGTTATCATTTCCTAATGAGGGTTCCAAATTGGGCTCGTATCCCTTAAAAAGGGGTGAAGTGGCAGGCTCCAATGCCGCCAAGAAAAGAAGAAAAAGCTACTTCTATCATTTCTTGAGTTCAGAACCTCGTAGTAGCAGTCGTTAGGGTGGCGCCATCTCTCGGGAGCCATGGTAAGTAGTCCTGAAAGTCAGAGTTAGGCTTAACTGAGCTTGTTCTGTGCCGCCATCTGTTGAGGCCAGATAGTCTTTTGTACCAAAATCCTTTCTGTTGATAAAGCTTATTTCTAGAGATTTCGTAATTTATATACTTCTTATTCATTTTTTTTTCTACTATTCATTTTCATTTTTTCATTCTACTTATTCATTTTTTTCCTCATCCTTTAAATACTACGTAGTGCCTCTGTAATATGAACCCCAGTTCATTTTTTTGCGGAGCTACGGTTGAAATCAGAAAATCTGCTAAGTTTTGCACGTAAGTGTTTTTCAGTATCACTCTCTGCATTTTGTCTTCTTGTGACACTTGAAACAATAAACAATATCCGCATCACTCCAGCACTGAAAGCCCGGCTTAATCGAACATTCCTCCATGTTTCCGCGATCGACATTTTTATATTTTCATTTTTTTGGAATTTAAGTTATTGCCTCAAAATTTTAAAAATTTCTATGTTAGCTTTCTCCCTGAACCAGTGTTATTGGTTTTATTTTCGATCAAGCTTTTGATATGTCATATATGACATCAAATAAAGTCAGCTTTTTCCAGAACTTTATTAAATTATCATTTTCCTCAGTGAGAGTTATTAGAGACCAGACCGTGAATGGTTACCGCCAGGCACGGATAATCCATAAGCCGCGTAATCAGTACCCGGATAATCGAGAGTATCTCTTTTATTTAGAAAAAAATTTTGCTCATGATTTAAAAAAAAAAATACGAAAATTCTAATATCCGTGCAACAAAAATTGGTCGAGATATTAGGTGAAATCATATTCAAGTAGTCGAAATCATATTTAGGGGTCGTACACAAACTGAAAAGCAAAATGTTTGCATTTGTATTTAAATAAAATATAGGTTTAGAAAACAAGTTTTTGATGTTACAAGATCAAGTGCTTAGCATTTCTATGCAGTTTATTTTGAAGAATACTGATCACTGTAATTTTTTTTCTGACGGGAAGAGATCTTATTCACAGAATTTTAAAGAATTTGTTTGTTTAATTAAGGCAAAGCACATGAGGGCTATCTGCCTAAGGGAAGAGATGCCTTCATGGAGGACATTCTAAGGGAAACTGACTCCTATACACATTACAGATGTCGGAAACCACGAAAACGCCCATGTTGCCAGCAAGTTCGTTTGAATTCAAGCACCGAACCGAACTACCAGTGTTTGGCGACTTCACCGCTCGGCCGCGGGCCTTACAGAATTGGTGTTCTAGAAAACACTGGCAGGCTTCAGTAGTGGGACGTGACCAACTCGCAGTATTATTTGCCTTAATTAAAAGCGAAAATTATTTGTATTTTTTTTTTGGTTCGATTATAATTTTAATGTAACAAAACTGCATTATAATATTAGGTAACGTATTTTTAGCTTTGAAAACTTAAAAACTATTTGTGTGAAAATTATTTCGGCATGCCAGTTGTAACGAAGTTATAAATTAACGACATTAGTAATTTACGAAAGAACATCATTGAATGGCATTTAAGGGAAAAAAACCAATCTCGAATTATTGTAATTTATTTCTTAACCGACGCATCAATACAAACTGAATACGACAAATATGACAAAAAATACATACAAAAATCGCAAATTTTGAAGTTAAATAGCTCGGTCAGATTTTGTTGTACGGGAGTCAAACTTTGTTTTATTTTTTGTAACGAGTACAAAACTTTCCTGGGTATAAGTTTAGGGATCGAAGGAACGTATAAAAAGGGATTTCGTAATTTTTTACAAAATTAATGCCCTTAAATTTAAAAATACGCCGTCCAGACGGAAAAGTGGTTAGTGATTCTGACTGCCGTACCGAAAGGCACGGGTTTTAAACCTTTCCGGCGCGCTACCTTTTAAAGTCGGAGTTTTGATTTAAAAAGTGGGCAGTCTAATTAGGCTTAGAGGTGTACACAAGTAAAATTTTGTGAAGATAGCACTTATCGTTTTAATTCTGTGGGTGTGCCCAAGTGGCACACTGATTGAATAGAGCTTCGAAAAGAATGCTAAAACGAGCATTGTTGTCAATGAACTGGCCGATGAGATGCGAAGAAACAAAGAATACAGACTCTCCAGTTGTCCAAGATTGTCGGTAAGCCCGGTCTGGGCATACCTAGGGTTCGCCGTTTGATTTTAGGCAAGATTTCAAGGTAAAAATTTAAAACTAATATAGAATAAGGAGATTAGCATACAGCCAAAAAAATAACATAGAAATTACTTTTCAAACAATTCCTTTTATACCCTAAAAAAATTTGGAAGATTTCTTTGAAAAATGAGGATCTTAAAAAACTAAATATGGCTAAAATATATGGACTGGTTTGTGTTGAGCTTCCATCTACTATAAATAAAGAAGGTTCAGAGTAACTTGTAGTAACCTATAAATCCTTTTTTCATTCAATTTTTCTGTGCGCACAGAAGCAAATTTTTAGTTGTGTCCAGACCGGACACACTTTGCCGCAAAGGGTTAATCCCCGAGAAGGAATGGATATAAATTGTCTGTTCCTTCATAGGAGGCAGCGTGGTCCACCTGACAGGTGCCTCCATAATAATATGATCACCGCTTCCAGCCTTAGCAGGGGCCAACAGCTGGTGTCCACCATTGGAAATAAAATTTTAAAAATATAAAAGCATAATTCTTTGCGTCATTAAAAATTTTTGTAGTTGGAAGTATATGTCTGTGACCGTCGGTTGCGAAACTAAAGGCTGGGTGAGGACTCTTGTGGATACAATGTATATTTATGCATTACAATTCTACCTGTGAATATGTCTTTGATTCTGGATCAACATCAACTGTCGCTAAGAGATCTGGCTTTTGCGTAATTTGCCATTTTGCAGAAATACAAGTAACATATATCAGCTTCTCTCTGGGTCCTTCATTATAAGCTGCCAGTGGACTTTTATAGCCAATGTGCTGGTTGCAAGTTTCCGAAGCAGCTACATTAAGAATTATAAAGACATAATGAATATTCAGACAAAAAATTATATAATAAAAAAATAAGATAAACATATGTAATCATAATTCTATCTTTTATTTGCGTTAGTCGCTTTATTCTACATTGTACTGCAGTTACTTCCTCTTTTCGCCTTCAAAATAGTAACTGCTAACAAACCTAAATGGCCAACATTTCAGACTTCATATTCCTCGTTCTGATATGATTCTTATATAACGCTAATGACGTTAATACTTACATAACGCCTTAGCCAAACTTTTATTGCGTCGACCTTTTAAAAAAGAATGATTTCCCTTATCGTCCCGCCTTACATTTTTCTTCATAGCATATACATCTTACAACAAAATCATAATACAAATAATTGCATATAAATAACTTAAGAGATGACAAATAGATTGAGAATATGAAAAACGTTTTGAAAAAAAATGGTTCATTAGATTTATGTAATTGCTGCTTGTAATTGCTTGAAATAATCTAAATCTAAATAAATATATGTTGCCGCCAATGTACGAAAGCTGGTGTTCTATAGAATAATACCTAGGCATTATATAGAATGCTGAAAACTGGCCCGCCCAGTCTATGAAACTATTATTATTTCATGCATATCCAAGACAATGCACTGAACGTCAAATGACAAGCCGGCAAAGTGTAAAATATACCTCCGATTCGTTTCGAATATTCATACATTTAATACAATCATATATAACCCAAACATTTTAATACATCCATTCCATAATTCCATTTTAATACATCGATTCCATAATTTGTAGTCCAAAGGGGCTTTCCCTAAGGTACTATTGTTTTCGTTTTGCGATTTTGCGTCGAATCACTCTGAATGTCCGTTTCACTTTTCAAACTGTTGCCACCAAATCTTATCGCCCTGTGTTATATTTAAAGATATTAAATAATGAAGAATCTGCATTAAAGTATGAATATTTCTCGAATTGTGTAAAACAATGGTACCTACAAGCATCCAATTTTGAATGACGTAATCTTACTGCGAACATGAGCATCTGGAAGCCCAAATTTGAAATTTTGGAATTTGTTTTATTATCTATTTCATATTTTGCAAAACGTTAACGAATTTTTGATTAACAAACTCAAGGATTTCAAAGCGAGCCATGGCAACGCTGTACAGAAAGAACATTTTTATCTCCAGTGCGTGAGACTGTAGTGGAATATAATTTAATGTTTTTATATAATTATTAAGATTTCCTAAGTGGCAGCATGATGTAATGTTTTGCATAGTTATTAAGATTCGCCGTGTGGAAACAACAAGTGGAGCTAAAAACGTTGTTACTTGGAGTGCTCCTTGATAGGCGTTGCTTGATAAGCTTTATTTCTTAAAAGTTTCTTATATTTTTATGTAAAGAATAAGAAACATATTTCAAACAAGAATGAAAATTGTAAAAATAAATATACTGGTTCTTTTAAGACCAAAATAAGCATTTATTTCACTTATGAAATGCTCTCGAGGATCAGTTTCTATTTCGCTTATTCATCAAATCCACAAGACTGCGTATCGGAAATTCTAAAGATATGCTCAAATTGAAATTATTTTCCGATATTGCTCTTAAACTGAATTTTATCGTTTAAGTACGAAGAACATGACATTTAATAAATAAAAATAACAAACAAAATGTTAAAAAAAACGCTCCTTTAATTGTACACTGTTTTCTTTAAAAAAGAACACAAATTTTGTTTTGTGCAAATTTAATTTTTCTTTACGGATTTTCAATAAAAGTTTTTGAATGGCACTCTTTCATTATGTTTTCAAAATAACATTTTCTTTTTGAAGGATGCCATCTTTTAAATAATACTACTATCAAGACATTTTTCATACTTAATTTAGCCTAATTGGATTTGTCAATCTATAGAATGCCTAAGTTTTATATACAAATTGTATAGGTTCAAAATTTCACCTTTCGTTTGGCCCATTATAACCTTAAAGGTTATGCCCATGAAAATAACAAACTCAAACTTATATACAAATTACATTGACAAATTATATACACTAATTCTCATATTTAATATTTTGCCTAAAAGTGCTGAATACAAGGTAGCCGATTTGCCTGTTTTATTGAATAAAATACCTAGCTCTACTATGGAATGCCAGCGTTTCATACATTGGCGATAACTGAGAACCACTGTTCGATAAGTTATAAATAATGAAACATAAATCAAAGGGAGTTGCCACTAAAATATGACACGTAATGAGAGGAAAGGGAACTAACTCACCCATTTGCGTCAGTCTGCAATCTCTGGTCTACAGGCGCAAGTGTAAAAGACAAGTTTTATCAGCGTGCAACAAAGGTCACGTGAAGATTTCAAGGTTACGCCGTAGAAGAGAAACCGGGAAGTTGCAAAGTGGAATTTCGAAGTGTTATCGTTTGGAATTTGTGTTGTTAACTTCAAAATATTTTTTTGCTCTTTCTTGAAAAGATTCAGTAATAAAGTACTATTACAAATAAATATGTATGTATTATTTCTCTCCCAGGCGTTGAGAGGAGTGTTTATGACTTATCAAAATATTTATTCACTTTGTTCAGCAGAATTTCTGATAAGTAAAGCAGAATTGCTATATCTATGTTAACTAAAGCAGAATCGCTAAGTGAACGGCCACATGTTCGGAAATTGCAAGATAAATACCAATGAAATTTAAGGAAAAGGTGTGTCGAGTATTTTATTATAAATAGTCTTATGTGTGTTTCTTAGACATTTTTTCAAGTGGCAATCACTTTTATAAATTCGAATGTTCTGCGGACCACCGTATTCTTGCCTCCGTCGAAAGTTATGTTTTCAGAATATGTTACTTCGTTTATACTTTATATTTAATAGTTCTACTAATTAAGATTAATTTAATTTTATAATGATCGATTTATGTTCTTTGTTACTTCCTTGCACGAAGAAGAGGTAGCGTTGCAATGATGAAAAATTTCGGGTATCATATTTCGACGAAAATATCCATTTTGCCACGTTATCGAATGCAATTTAGCGATGTTTTTGCGTGACATTTGTGTGTAAGGACAGAAAACAGGACTCTTAAACAAAATGGATTCAGAAGAGATTTTTTTTTCGTGACGTCTGTACGTACGTATGTATGTATCTCGCCTAACTCAAAAACGAATAGCCTCAGAACGTTGAAATTTTGTATATAGGACGCTATAACATGTAGTTGTGCACCTCCCTTTTTTGGTCGAAATCGGCCGCACCAAAAGTATATAAATACACAGTGGCTCACACAAGTTTTCGGACACTTACGAGTTTCTGTGAAATATTGCTTTATATATTAATTAAAATTAATGTTTTAAAATGAAAATTTAAAAAAAAATATCTATAAATTTTTCATAGAAAAACTACATTAATTGTTTTATGAACGTATTAAAGCTTTGTTTGGAGAACCAATAATAAAAAAAAGTAACAGAAAAGTTACCTCACAGAAGTCTTCGCACGTTTTAAAGAAATCTGCGCATATTAGTAAATATTGTACTACTTCTGTCAGTTAGTATTTTGTAGTATATACTGGCGTATTTATGTCAACTTACGGGCTGGGCATAAAGTTCACCAGTTCTCTTGTAATATCTGCATCAATGTTTCCCCAGTCTTCCATCATAATTGTTTTTAGTTCGGTTTTGTTTTAATGCTGTTTCTTCATACTCTGACCTCTAGTTATCTCCAAATGTGTTTGTCCTGTTGGGTTTAAATCTGGTGACTGAGGTGGCGTTTTCAGAACTTGTGGATAATTATGGACACCCAAAAGGCGAACGTTGAGGACCGTGTGCTTAGAATCGTTATCCTGATAAAAAATGGAGTTGTTTCCAGTATCCAAATTTTGAACATTCCCCAGCCAAGTAAAGGCAGATTCGAACTCGGACAGTTGCAAATGCAGGAGGACTTATTCCACTGTGCTCTCACATCAACACATCACCTAAAGAAGCCTGACATTCACAACTGGAATGAATGGGTAACGGTCATAATTAAAATTAGACATACAAGAAACAAAATTTGTCATATTATGAAATTCCGTGCAAAAGAATTTGCAAAGCAATAACTAAGACACAGCTTTAGCTTTATTCTAGTTTTTCTTGCCAACTTTGTAACAGTTCTGGATTCTGTAGCGCATAGCGTTTGTGCAGGACTAAGTATTGTAAACTTTGAATCGAAAAGTTGATTTGCAGTGTAACATCAAGACAATGCAGTATCACGAGTAACTTGTAACATATTCTTGAATTATAGTGACTGCTCTGTACTGTTAGCGCAGAACAAAACTGTATTAAATATAATGTTGATGAAATATAACATACATTTAGATAATACTAATTAGAAGTGTACATCGATACTGTGTTCCGACCATTGCCTACTTAAAGCGTGGCACTGTATTTTGTACATATTTTCAGTATTGTAATGCACGTGCTCTATATAGAGAATTTCCTATCATGCATTTGTTTGCAATTACGTAGCAATATCAACGAGGTACATATGCAACATTACCATATATCCGTTAGTAGATTTCCAATGGCTTTGCAACAGAATACTGCAGCACTGAAACTTTATGGAGTTCTACAAGTGAATAAGAGTGTATTTTTATGTCTATAATCAGAACTGTATGCCAGTATTGCAATGTATCTTTGTACCAATAATAAGTAACGCATTTTTTTATATTCATACACAGCATTCAGTATATTCCATTTACATTCAGTGTTGTATAAATATGCAGAAAATTAATAGCCAGTGTTCTATTTAGATAATGACTTACCATGTATTTCTTTGTACCAATGTAGCATTATTAGAAAGGTTCTTATCTAACATCATCATATAATGGCTTTGAAATAGAATATTTTGGCATTACATTTGTAAGTGGAATTTTAAAATAATTAAAGAAGTGTATAGGTAATGTATATCAGTAATTATGTATATAACTGTAAACCGGTAATGCATTGTATTTTTGTACCACTATTTTAATTTTGTACCAATATTCAGTGTTCGGTATTCTATGCATTCAGTATTTAAACGGCAAGTGTGTTGCCTAGGGTAACACTTTCATATACTACTTTTCTCTTCCTATACGTCTATAGGTTTCGCTAGAGAATATTTTAGCATCGTATTTCCAAATGCTACAAAATTGTAAACGATATTGTGTTGTATTTGTATATCTTTATTTAATTCTGCTGTTTTTATTTCTTATTTATTTTCTTTTGCCGATATTGAGAACTTGGAATTTTGTAACTAAATTAGCATTTTGTAACTGTATACAGATCCAGCTGTTGCATAATTGTCTCTACTTAAGCATTAATACATATGAACAATGTTAGTGTAAAAAAAAATTATAATCAACAAAAAATAATGTTCATTACCTCTTGTAATTACCGTACAAAATGTATGCGAACATGTAAGAGTTCATGTCAAACACAGATGGTATCTTAGTAAAAACATTTTTTGGGGGATAATCAATCAATATCATCTGATTTGCTATGATCAGCCTATGGCGAAGAATAGCGGATAGTAAAAGATTGCTGCGGGGATGTTAATAATGCTGTAAGGCCTTTTGTAATACGGTCGGGAGTCATCCCTCGCAGAGTTTCAGATGTTCTTCCTCGCAATTGGGGCAGAATTGCACAATTACTGCGGCGGAACTATTCCAGTATTAATTGTTACACTATTTTATGGATAGTAATTATGTGTAGGAGGTAAGGACAAACATTTTGGAGATATATTATTTTTAAATCATTCAATTAGTAAAGCCTGAAGCCCTTTCGTGTCTTAAAATTTCTTGCATGATTTTCTTTTGATTTTTCAAGCGATTCTGTTTGCCCACTTTTTTTGAGATTTTGGAGATTTTTTTTGATTGAGATTTTTTGAGATTTTTTGTGATTTTGGAGAAGAAATGGGCAGGGACCACCTGCTCCGATGGGGGCTCTCCTTTGTCTTACTGAAGAGTCGAGATACCTGGAGGCAAGAACACTCTTTAGGCAATGACTTCGGTCTTTTTGTTCTTAGTTCTATTATTTGTTACCTCTGTTTAAAAGATTTTATTTCTTTGTAACTTTTTGCCGAGCCATGGGAAATAAATTATTAAAAAAAATTATATTAATTAACAACTACGTGTATTTTTCTTAACATTATAAAAAAACATGTTTTTCGGTTTTATGAACTATTTTATATTTGTGTCACGGTACCCTACTAAATATAAGCATCATAAGACTTATTTTTCGGTTGTTTTTAATCCCCGAGTTAAGAGAGTTATTTCCATTTATTTCTGAAATACAACATTTGATTGACGATTATTCAATCATTCTATTTTTGTCTTCTGAAAATACCGATCGTTCCATCTTTGTCTTCCTAGGCAAAAGAATATGTGGGTTCATTCTTTGTTTTAGAGAACACGTTATCAATGTGTGATTTTTCGTGAGGTGTGTGATTTTGCCGCCTCTTCTTTAATACTATTACTATATATTATATATATAAATTGAATACCACATTATTAGAATGAAATTGTGTTATGGAAGGAATCTTTCGGAGTATAACTGAAAAAAAGAAATTTTGATACAAAAATGACATTCTTTAATATAACTAATATATCACATGCTACAGAACAACAATAAAATTGTCGCTATGACAGCTAAAATTAAAATGAAAACAAATGCAATCAACTTCCTGAAATTACTTTTATTTAAGTAACAAATATGAAGTTTTCATCTTTAAAATGTTAACAAGAACAAATATACAAAGACAAATATTAACACTTTTTAGAAGATTAAAATAGCATAGCATGAATAATTAGACCATATTATTAAGAGTTTTCCCATTTTAAGTATCAAATTCCTTCAAAGCAACAAAACATGGACATTCAAAGCTACAAACATAGAAATAGTTTCAAGCATATGAATTCCTCCTTTATGATTTCATTTATATGTTCTCCCTTTGCTTAATTCTACATTTCATACACAGACAATCGAAATTAATTCTAAATAACATTTTTAAAACTGAAACTTCCTTAAAGAAGCCGAATCTTCATCAGTCTTTTTTTTTTTTTTTTAATAATAAACGCCATACCGACAAAATGTATTAAAAACCCGTATAACATTTTGATTTATTATTTTAGATACCACTTTGGCGATTTGATTTTGATAATATTATGCATAGTTGGAACACATGTTAAGGAGTGTTAAATAAGGCATGCTGAAAATGTTTACGATATAATTTTTGCAAACACTAATAGTATTCTACAACAAATTCTTTGATTAAACAAAATTTAATTTTTACGATATAATTTTTGCAAACACTAATAGTATTCTACAACAAATTCTTTGATTAAACAAAATTTAATTTTTACGATATAATTTTTGCAAACACTAATAGTATTCTACAACAAATTCTTTGATTAAACAAAATTTAATTTTTACAAATAAAATTTTTGAATGCTATCAATGCAGCATTTTGAAAATTAAATTAGTTCCTTATTTACAATGTAGGAAATATCATATTAGAATAACTCAATGTTGAAAGAGTTCTGAATTCATCTATATTATTCAAAAATTGCAGTCAAATTTAAAATATATTTTAAACATATTTTTTCATATTTTGAGGAAGGCTGTACAAAAATATTTCCATGGCTATTAAATAAAAAATTTTACATTTAATTTCTCATCTGAAACCACGATAAATGCAACTGCAAGAATGTGGGTGGGTTTTTTTTTTATATATATTTTAATTTTTTTTAATAATTTTTCAGCTTTAAATTCTTTTAAAACCGATTCACAGTTTAATTTCTTTCTGTTTGATTCTTTATCGACAGTGCTGAAAATTTGCTTTACATTACATAAATCATCTCAAACAAAAGAAGCTTATGTTTTACATTCCAGACATAATGACTTCAGACTGGAATTCACATCATATCCCTTTTCTAATGGTTTGAAACCTTACAATGAGTATTTAAAAAAATAACATCTTAAATTCCCGTTGTGCTATTTATACTAGCACATAATAATGCTCTTTTCATAGCACTGACGAATTCACTGTACTACTTCTTCATGCTTTTAAAAGTGTTGTTGCATCCAGCACTTTTCCATCTTAAAATGAAAAACATCGAATGAGAAGTAATAAGCATTTTTAACGGGATTTCTTTCTCGTGTTTTTTCTTCTTCTTATATTGAATTGCATAATGGTCCTAGTGTGCGTGAAAGTGTTAAGTCTTTTTATTTCAAGTCTTTTGAATGTGTTAAGTCTCTTTTATTTTCTAAGCTACAGCAGCTTGATATACAGCGATGTTGCTGGTAGTGACTGGAATGTTTCTGAAAGTGATTCTCATCTTAACATTACCTTGCTTTCAGTCATTGCTCAAAAGTGGGAGTGGTTCGGAAGCATTTGCTGTGCAAGTTGAAACGAATATTTTATACAATATAGATTTACTACGCAGGAAGCTGTAGCTATTATCCAAAACCAATGTATCTGAAAAAAGATAATAAGAACATTAATTTTTTTTTTATAATTATATAACTACGGCTTGCTGTACTACATTAAAGCGAACGACAATTATTTGATCAATTAATCATTAAGCTGCATATTGTCTTATTTCATCTTGATTTCTAATGCATTAATGTACCCATATAAGAGTTTTAGGCAAATTAGATACAGTTGAGATACAATTTTCTTCTGAATTACAAACCCGTTGATTACCACTCATTGTTGAAGTTGTTCCTGTGCTGTTATAATCAGCAACTTATAAAATACTAGAAAGCCCGGCGGTCATACGAAATGACCGCTGTTCTAGATATTAGAAATTGTAATTAAAATGATTTGTGAAAAGGTGTCTGCGAATTCAAACTGAATTACCCAGGGCAGGCGGCGAGGATGCCCCTTCGCTAGTGCTTTTGCTTCCCCCTTCTACTTGCTTATTTTTTAAAGTAGAGTGCAATGAAGGAAACCACTGGCGGTACATTTCTTAAGAGCCACCGCTAGCTGATTAAATAAAGGTGATTTAAATAATAAAATCTTAATTCATATGTCAAAGATCTCTTTGTACACACCATATCTTTCCATCATTTTTAAGCTCGCCTTGCAGAGGACCCTCCATTATTTTTCATTTTACGTCCGTTCTTTCACGAACTCTTGAACAGGCAGCATAAAGTTGACCGTGTCCAAATGCAGGCTCAAAAATATGCCAACACGCTTAAGCGTTTGGCCCTGAGACTTATGGATGGTCATAGCAAAGGCAAATTTTACAGGAAATTGTCTACGTCTCAATTGAAACGGCAACCCTGTGCCGTGGCAAATTCCCTTTGGCTAGCACAGTTACGCAAGCAACCCATAAACTATCGGCGAAAAATAGACATTTAAGCCACATATAATAAAGATATTCATTTATTTCACTTTATTTGTTTTTCCGTCGTTGCCGGTTTTTGCCGGTTGCATATTTCCAAATTCTATTATATATAAATGTTAAATTTATTCATTAAATGTTAAACGCACGTGCTCTTGTATTTTAAATTTTTCCGGCTTAGCTTTCTCTTCTTTCTCGTCACGCGCTGCACTGCACGGGAAATAAAACAATTTACAGTTACGCAAGCAACCAATAAACTATCTGCGAGAAACGCTCAAGCCGCATATATATAAGATAGCAAAATCTAGCTGCAAGTGGAATTACTAATATTAATTCCTGATCTGTACTCGCGTTCAGGGCCTTATTTCTAAAATTAGAAGTGCCGGAACCCTACGCAAGACCATCAGGAGATAGGAACAAGAGTAAATAAATAAATAAAATGGCCATTAAAAGCATTAATAATTAAAAAATTAAATAGTTAGTTATTACCAGATTAATTATTAAATTAATATTAATAATCAATATTTCTCTTGTTATTTAATTAATAATTATCGTTCAATTAACTAATGATTATTTATTATTATGCATTAAAATAATTAAAAATTAAATTAAATGATTAAAATTTTTAAAATGCACAGAGAGAAATTAAAATTCAATAAGGATTTTTAATATAATTTTGCTAAATATAAAATTTTCGAGATCAGATTTCTACTGAAATTGTTGTTCAGTTACACAGAAGAAAGACCGAAGCTTTCTTAGTTAGAGCTCCGGTGCGATCCGTCTAGAATTATGATTCATCCCCAGAACTAGCGGAGTCAGGCTCAGTGCAATTCAAGCTCTGCTCGTGTTGATTAAAGATTGACTTCTATACAGTTAGCTTATCATGAATTTGATTTGCAGTATACTGCATCTTTTATCCTGTATATTAAAATTTTTAGTTTGAACTGTGGAGTCTATCAATTTTTCGTTAATCGGTGTTTAATTGAGCTGTAATATCCTGTTTCAAGTGCAGGTGAAAACTCATAAATTTACGTTTGAAGAACAGCCAATAATTGATGTGAGATTTCAAGCATATAATAGTGGCCATTCATTCAAGCTCTATAGACCAGAGGCCAGTGATTATCTGAAATGAGAGCTACTGACATAGTATTTAGAGAAGCCTTTATATGTAATTTTAAGCCAAATTCGCGTTTAAAGATGTTCACGACGTTAAATCTTCATATTGAGTGCGGAAACGCCTTTAAAATATAGAGCCATCAACAATATTGTTGCGTTATTTTCTGACACCAGTTGTTACGTAATTTTCTTCCTTCACGTTCGCACGGGGTTCGTAAATTTGGAGTGAATAACGACGACACTTGATGAAGTATCGAAACACACTTTATTTAGCCAATATTAATCAGGGCAGTTCTAATAACACATTAACACAGTCGTCGAAGATTTACTATACACTCGCTGCAAAAATCAGCGACACAGCTTTCAGGTTATCAGGCTATAACGGTGGAGAGTTCACTTCAAAGCACCAGAGTACAGCTCCCGACTCTGCTCAGTCGTTCTCGCAACTCCACGTATTCTCGAGACTCTCCACGCTACAACTTGACGACACACAGAGCACAGCTCCCGACTCTTCGGTTCAGTCGTTCCTGGAGCTCAACACACTCTCTCGACAATGCACTAACCGCGATACACTAAGGGACTCTTTCGATGCACTCGACGACCCACTCGGCACTCGCTGCCCGGTTGTCAACTCGATCGACTCCGCACGGATTAACTAACTATCTCGCACGGACTCTCCGCGTACCAGCAGGGTTTATATAGTTTTTGGCTTGTGTTCGAGAACATTCTTGGCTAAACCGGTAAGAATTCGTTCTAGAAGGTTCTTCATCCGTCCATGGCTTATCGCCAATTTTGACGCCAAGTTGGCGATTTCTCGCCAAATGTGGCAACTTTGCTTTTTTTTGCCATTTTATGGCAACCCTAAACCTGCTTTGTGGGGAAGCCATCATACCACGCCTGGACATTTCGTAACAATATGCAACTTATAGTATATGTATTATAAAGACGAATATGACCAAATATGTTTAAATTTATGCATTTGCGTTTGAAAATTTCAAAGTGTAAATTTATTCATGTGAAGTAATTCACTTACAGTTTCCTGTTCTTTCTCCGATATACACTCCTTTCTCAACTCCATGATCGCTGCTTACGCGGGTGGAAGAAACTACTGTTTCAGGTGTCGAGCCTTCTGAATACAAAAGAGAAATATTGATATCACAGTTTTTACAGTCAATTTCCCAACAAACTGACGATCCTGGCACATCGATTTTCACTGGCACGCTGTGCTTGGATCGTCGTCCAACAACCACTGAATGAACATTCTCATCTTCTGGATTTAATCGTTGCTGATTTTTCAAGTAATACTCCTTAGGAATTGGTCCACCTTGTGGAATCTGTTAAACAACAAGACAGGGAAAAAAAACTATTTTAAAACATTTATTTCCATAAAATTTAAAAGTTTGATACACGAAAAATTACGGGGACATTGTTTAATACACACTCTAATTTATAACTAAATTTCCAAAGACACTTTTAAGGCGAAGAATGGCAAAACACTTGGTAGAAATCTTTGGCATGTAAAGACATATAAATGTAATAAATATTTAAGTAGGAAAAAAAATTATGGATAAATTTTTATACCCATAGTTAATTTTTATTTTCACACATTTGCTTCCAAAAATATGTATTTCAAATCAGATGTATATTATTCAGATTAGTCTAGATGTATTTCATGAATATGATTACATTTTATTTAAAAGTTTAAACTGTACTTTTTTATCCAATCAGAATTTTATTTTCCCTCACATCTTGTCTAGCACTACAGAAATACGCATATTGCTGCAATTACGTACTGCTGAGATCTAGTGTACAACCCCAGTTACAATCAAAATAATGAAAACATATATCTAAAACAAAATGAATCAAATAATCTTGTACATAAAATGTTTAGAGAATCGTTTATTTTAAATCTCATCATAACAATATTAACAATATTCTTTTGACTTGAATATGCGTTTCTCTGTTTTTAAATAAAAGTTTCATAAATTATTTAACTTTTTGATATAGCTGGAAACACTGTAAAAACTAAACTGCAATTCCATATCACAAGGTTTAGCAAAATGTTTAATGAATAAATATTATTCTCACCAATATACGACACCTTGGATCACCATCAGGGTCAGTTCTTGTACCTCCATAAACAACGGGTAAAATTTCAGGATCAATTTCCTCAAGAAGAGCTTCCTTCCAACCACCTAGAATGATGTAAATAAATATGCAATTAGTTCATCTTTCTTGCATTTTTCATTACACTATTGTTTGCAAAGATCAGGGATAAGCTTTTTATTCCTATTCACCATAAAAGATAATATACCTCTCTTTTGGGATGTGGTGCTTCTTTGAAGGTCAACAGCATTTCGTAGAGATGGTCCAAATTCAGGGGCTTTTTTTAATGTCAAGGAAACATTTTTTGATACATCTGTTGCTGTGGGAACTTGAGTGGCATTTAACCCTGCTTTGAGCCGTCTAACTACTCGTCCACGATCATTTATACACTCCTGGGCATCCAAAATGCAACACGATGAAGAACAAGAGATATCAAAAGCGGCTTTATTTCAGAGATTACACATAGCATCAATGATAACTGATTTGAAATGTCAGGTGAGGAAGACAAGAAAATCAGTAATGTGTCTTGTCTCCACATTTTTCAATAACCGCTGCTACACGCCACGGCATTGAGTGCAAGAGACTTTGGATGTGTTGTTGGGGATTGGCAGCCCACACGCAGGCAAAAATCCTCTGGCGTACCAGCGGGTGCGGCATGCCAGGATAAGCGTTCTCCAATCATTGACCAGACATGTTCAAGGGGCGACAGATCTGAAGAACTCACACTGTCTTGTTGAAATGCGGCTTCAGACAAGCCCTGAAGTTAAGTAAGAAGAACAGTCTGCAAAACCTCAGGGATATAGCATTGGGTGGTAAGTGTACCGATAATATATACTTGTGGGTTGTGGGAATGGAATCCAATACCACTCGCCATCATAACACCGGGTGAAGGATTAGTATGACAATGCATAACACAACAGTGCAGCAGCTTTTCTCTGCAGTTCTTCCAAACTCTAATCTGACTACTGTGTTATTGCAGGCAGAAGCATGGTTCGTCCAAAAACATAATGTCCTGCCATCCGGATGACCATATTCGCATGCTTGACTACATCCGACACGATGACCGATTTCTAAAATGGATTATGCGCCATTTCTGTAGACAACGATTCTGCCTCAGTGAAACTCAGGAACGGGCTCAAACGATGCTTGTGTTTTTCTGTGAAGCATATTGAAGCTGCACACACAAAAACTCTCACAAGTAAACATTTCATATTATTCAGAACGGCAAACATTCCTCCCTTTATATGATATGCGCGTGCCCTGAAATTGTAACCATTTACATAGTCGATCGCAGTATACACATCGTGCAAGTTTCATGCTTTTTGATGCTTCCTTCACGGCGTTGCATTTTGAATGGTCAGCAGTTTACATGTGAAAATTTTATTGATGGACGAGACTACTTAATAGAGAAGGCACCAATTATTTTTCAGTTATTGCTGAGAGTGGGGGGGTATATGTAGCTGAAATACTGGTTGCGTATTAAATGACTGGAACTTCGACAAGCACACCTACCTTCACAGTTAAAACATTATTTTATTTGTATAACGAATTAATCCTTAGACATATCCTAAGACATCTTTTCTTCGTTTACACAACACTATGGGTACTATAAATGTCCTACTATTTTATATATGCATATCACATCTTTAAACATTAGCTGAAAGCAACAAAGCAATTAATTACATGTTTGCAAAGCGACATAAGGGGAGGAAAGTTAAGCGTATTCAGCAGCTGGAATATTTTTAAACTCGGCTTCTTTGTTTTAGTTTCGAATGGTGATTTGTGCAGCATTGCAAAGGAGATGCTAATCAGAATAAAATCGGGAATAAAAAGGCTATTGCCAATAAAGTAAGTAATTTCTTAAGAATTTTCGTAGTAATTAATTAATAATTTTCTTTCATATTTTATATTATATCTGTATGTCAGAAAAAAATATTTAAAACAAACCTCCGATTTTAATTGGCAATAGCCCCTTTTATTCTTGATTTAAATTTGGATACTTAATCTTTCTGACCTAAAAATGCTAAATACTTGTATTTTAATATATCAATCTAAATAGTGTCCTTTCAAAATTAATCTCCATCATACGATCTTACATAACGCTGCAATGCAGATTCATTTTAGCCAATAACGTTAAAAATTTTAATTGACACCCAAACTGTTTTGACCTACTCGCATCCTTCATCTGAATGCGCCATCAGGTTCCTGCTTCGATTGCTTTTGTTTCGTGTTAGGATGTTGTCATTTATCTCTCTTCTTTATCATCCATTACATGTATTATGATGCATTAAACTTTATAAAATGCGGGATGTTGATGTGTGAACTAGAGTTTGCATCTCGACGATTTGCTCATAAATAAATTATGTTGAATCTACAGCTACATTTGTCAGCAAGTCCCATTCTCCTACATATGCAATAAACTTCGTCAATCTGTTACACACACACAATATAATAATTCAATATAATACCTTACATATTTTGTAATGTCTTACGTGCATTCAAACAATGCCTTACAAACATTCTGCACTTAATATTTTCCATAAAAAATGAAAATTTACAACACTACCTTCAGAAACCTACAACATGATTGCTCTCTCAAATTTCTTTGCTTGAAATATGGAATCAATAAACCGTTTAAACGCATTGATTTTTTACCGATAAGGAACTTACTCTAGAGTGCTCTCTACATTTACCTTTTTGCAATTGTACAACAGTCACAAATGCTAATTTGCATAAATTATTTCTCTCTTAGAAGCTGCCAAGTTGTGCATATTAACCAATGATGCAGTGTTCAAGATTATGGAGAAAATACAATGCCATTTTACTACTGACAAAGAATGCTATTCTATAATTCTTCCCACAAAATTCCAAAATTTCATTTTACTTCATTTAAAAGTAAGTGCAATTCAGTTGAAGACTTTTTTTTTTTTTAAGTTAAGTTAAAAACTAAAACATCTGAAAACTTTAGTACTTACTGTAACCATATATTTTAAGCTTCTGGACAGTATCCTCAGATAACAAAGATTTAATCATACTAAACATCCATGCAAAGAAAGACGGAGCTGTTAAAAAGTATATATACATAAGTATATACATATATAACATAAAAATATATAAATGAAAATATTAACTTTAATTTGTAATATTTTTTTAAATCTTTAATTTAATTTGAATAATTTGTAACCAGCCTATTCGCTGGTAAAATATTTTACCACGATATAGAAAGAACAATTAAGAAAAATTAATAAAACATTATTGAATGCCTGTTTCCAGGCATACCAGTTATCAATAATAGATACAGGCCTAGACTAAAACCATTAAAAGAGATGTGGGTATCATAATTAACAGTTTATGTACAGAGTAATTATTTGTGTGTTTTATTTAGTATTTAAACAAGCAATTATCTTAGATAACACGATAATTAAACTCCTTTCTCTCATTGTGCCATTTTATTTATTCAAATATTTGATTATAAGACCCTGTCAAAATTTAGAGCAAAAATACAATATACAAGATTTTATTTTTCAGTAAATATCATATTTTGTTTTCAATAAATATTAACAATAAAATATATTAATTAAAAGAACTGACAATGAAATAATAATATAATTAATAAAATTTAACCGCATAAAATGTAAAAAAGTGGCCAAATTTTCATTTATGGTATTTTTTAATGACATGAAACACTAAAATGCAACTAAGAGTGTGAAGTTATAAGAAAAATTGGTAAAGAGAACTTACTATTAATGACATAAGCTACCCTTAAATTTTCTGGATAATTGCCTTCATACAATTTGAGGAAAGATATCACAAGGTCATACACTGGGAAAAAAGTACAAAATAAGCCACTTGATGATTCGTTTATAAGTTGAAAATCCAATTTAAAATACATTTATCAGTGCACAAAAACTTACATATCAATTATAATATTTAAAATAAAAAGGACATGCTTAATGTTTCTTGAAGTCATTGTAATAGTATTTCTACAGACCTATCAAAGGTTTTTATTTGAAGAATGTCAAAAGAACTTGTACGGTCATTTCCCCCCCCCCCACTGTTCTCAAGTCCTGGACCTCTCGAATACACATCGATTATGCTTCCAATTACACCACAAAGGTATGCGAAAAGGAGGGAGAAAATGAGTTATTAAATAAGTATAAATAAAATTTGTTTAGGAAAGATATTTTCTTCCACAGCAAAGATATTTTAAAACATAAAGCTAAAACTTCACAACCCCACCAGTGGAGTGGTCAAGACTGCTGAATGCTGGTAATTTTGATTTGGGTTCGAGCTCAGGCAAACGGGCTGGTTGCGTGGTTGGTTTTCCCCCACGTTTAATGTGAAAATGAGCCAATTACCTTAGATATCCTTCACAAAGTCATTTCCCTGATAGGCATATAGCACTAGTGTGCTCTGAGATATTCAAATAGCCTAAGCCAAAATTTCAGTCATCAATCGCTAATAAAAGAGTTTAAAATTAGGAGCTCCTATTCTTCTTCAGAAAGGATATAAGTTCTTTGTACCTTATTTTCTATGTAGTGTTCAAAGGCGCCTTTTTGAATCACGTGGGATAAATCTTTATGTGTCATTTCATATCAGTATGAATTTGAAATCTTCCCATTAAAATTAAAGCACGTTATTCAAATTCCATTGTTGTATATAAATCTGAAATACCACATGAGAATTCAAATTCTTATGAACGGCATGTTGTGATACTTCTTCATACAGTGAACAAATAATACCATATTAATTAGAAGTCGAACAACAAAAATCAGCGTTATATTTTCAAATTTTCACAGGACTAGTTTCAATGGTTTTACCGAACCATCATCCTCAGCTCAAAAGCGCAAATCGCAATTCTCCCATCAATAAAATTCCGAGTTCCATACTCAAGGACCTCTTTACGGATATGAATTCCTGGGGTATTTACAGGATGTCTTCCCAGTGTGATTTAATTTACATTGGCCAAATTAAGACAGCCTTAAAATTTCGCGTCAAGGAACATGAGGCATATGTTAAAAAAAAAGGAAACGCAGAATCTTCTGTTGCCCAACATTGTTGGTCCGAAAATCACAGTTTCAATTTTTCTGCTGCCAAAATTATTCAAAACACATCTTCCATTGCTGAACTGGATTTTCTAGAGGCATTTCACATTCAAAAAAATTTTTCTGTCCTAGTTAACGACCCTAATTCCAATCCATCTTTGCCTTCAGCATTTAAAGAAATTATGTTTTAGTTCTGGTTTCATCAACAGATGGCGCTAGTAGCTTATCTCCTGTCCAGGCTTTCTTATCTTATCCTATCTCTTCATTATATCCTATCTCGTTCATTTGCGCTTTTGCTGCATGATGATTCTGTAAAAGCATCGGAACTAGTCCTGTGAAAATTTGAAAATATAACGCTGATTTTTGTTGTTTGACTTCTAAATTAATATTTGTTCGGCGTGTTATTGTATCTTAAATAATACCTTACTTTTTGGGCTATGTAAACCTGAAAATGCATATTCTACAATATATATGAGATGTATACTATTTGGATACAACGCAAAATGCTCTTTTTTTTTCCTCTTTGATATTATAATCCTTATTATAAAATGAGATGAATAGTGAATATTGTGAATTTGATAATCCATGACTAAAATTCAGTTTTAGAAGATTCTTAAGCTGCTTTCGTATTTTTGCACTGCATTTTACATTAAGGTTTTTACTTTTTAACATTGAAATTCTGAAATAAAGTTTACCTTCGTGCAGGCTTAACACGGTAAACAGAACAACCGCCTGAAAGATTTTCCTCCAACAGAACCGAGAGGGAAAAAAATTAAATAACAGCATATTAATATATATTAGCTTCTATTAAATGTGGATGTGAGACAAATACTAAAATTTTAAGAAGTCTTCTTTACAAAAGTTTCTTTGTGGCAACGTCGTACGTAGCATTAATTGACAAGATAACTAGAAAAACCGAGTACAGAATGAGCTTTTCTGCAGGTCTTAAAACATCCATTGTAACATGTGATGAGAAAACAATGAAGCTCTGACAGTATCTGTGATCAATGGTAAAAAAAATTATATTTGTGCTATGTGCTACTGAGTTACATAATAAAGTGTTTCATCAAACACTTTCGAATATTTGTATTTTCAGTGGCAAAAGCGGTGATTACTTTTGAGAATGAAGCATAAAAATGTGTCGAGATTAGTTTTTAAACTTGATTTATTAAAAATACTTCAGAAATTTAAATTATAATATTTAAAACCAAAGAAATTTGAATTATTATACATTTTAGAGAAATAATATGATAATAATCTTTAATAAACTATCAAATCAATTTTAAATCAAACCTTCCTAAACATACAAATTATAGTATTAGACTTTTTTAATTATGTTGCATGTCCTGCAACATAAGAAATTGTGACATTCCATTAACCTTGATGGTTTGATTTCATTTATAACTGTTTTTCATGACTTTGAAGTATATGTTGGAGAGACCTTTGCTCCGAGAGCCATCAGTCGAAGACAGATGGAAAGTGCTGTAAAATGGAAGGTGGAAATGTTTTCTCACAGTTTGTTGAATGTCTCTGAAAATAATCTAAATGTAGTCAGACTTCAAAGTACTGCCGAAGGGCAATGCCAGTGCTAAGCATTTTGCCACCCGAAACAATTTTTTCTCCTATCCATTACAGGGCTAATTGTCCATGATCTCTCTAAATTCTAAAAATATTGACACTTCTTAATTCTCCCTAGAATTGGCACGAATTGGCACTAGGGAGATTTCTGCTATCCATTACAGGGCTAATTGCCCATGATCTCTCTAAATTCTAAAAACATTGACACTTCTTAATTCTTCCTAGTGCCAATTCTAAATTCTAAGAAATTTTGCAATATTTAAATTTTGCTCCTCAGTGTTTCTCTAAATTGTAAAAAAAAAATTTTCGGGTTCTGTGCAGTACCACCGGTTGCACCGGCACTGGCGGCTGCCCTGCAGAAAGGAGAAATAAATGCATTCTGAATATTGATAATTTATCGATATCTGCCCATTTGGAAGGTATCGCAATCGAGGGGTTTCACAGTTCAGACCTATTAATTCTTGCACAATTTGTGAATCCATGCTTACCATGAGAATCCATATATCAACTTATCCATGCTTTTCATCATAAACTTTTGCATGTGTTGGAAGAAAAGAGTATCTTATACATTAGATAGCCATAAGTTATAGTGATCACTAAGGTCTTTTTATTTGTTTTACAAATACTAATAATTGATTCACCTTCAGCTTATGAAAATTAATGATGTAAACATTCGCGAATCTTAAGTATTTCAAATTATATGAAATTCTTAATTGCTACCATGACATTTCCCCCTAATATTTTAACAAGATTTTTTTCTGTTGTAAAGTTCCCCACTTTGTAAATGCTGTTACAGTTGAACGTGAAGAATCTTAAGAACTGATAAGCGAATAATCGCTTGAGTTCGTGCGACAAGAAACAACAAGATGGAAGGGTAAATAACCCTTTATTATTCAGATAAGATTTAACAGAACTCCGTCTTGGGGTGACAATAAAAGCCGACACTTGGGCTCGAACTCAAGAGGCTAAGAAGTAAACTAAAACTTATCTAAACTAAAGAGACATAACCGAAGCTATCAAGATTCTAACCGAGTTGGCCCCTTAACGCTAATTGACTGCGAAGCTATCAAGGGCCTAAGTACGGCCGAGCGTAATAATAGCTTACGAGAGAGTAGCCTGAAAAGGCGGACGCGTGAAGACATAATACCTGGTAACTCTCTCGCTAAGACCCGAAGAACTTCGCGGTTTAAATACCGCTCCTCCACATTATGTATTCAGAAGTGATTCTAAAACTACGTTCGGGCCGGAAGTAGTAAGCTGAGGTTAAGAATTTGACAGGAAAGAAGTTTAACTCAAAATTTAACTGTGAACAAAATTAACGTAATCCTTACACCGTCACTAACAAAATTTTCCTTAAATTTTCTGATAAGTTCAGGCTGGATTTCTTTAAAAAAATAAATGTGGTAGCTATATTATTCACTTTTTGCTAGTCACAAAGTGTTGATTTACATTAGACTTTTATTTTAATTCATCAGTTTCTCCAATGTATCGAAGTGAACATTTTAAACGACATTTTTGGAAATACTAGACTGACAATACAATAAAATAAAAAATTTAAATCTTAATATTGAAGAATATTATTCTTAAGGTGTGTGGTGTTAGTAGAAGCGCACCAACACTCCCTCTTTTCTCCATTTTCTAATACACGTTTTGTAAATAATATTATAGTTACTTGTGCACTTATTTTAAGAAGTTTAATATTTATAAATGCTATTCACACTTTAATTATTGAATACTATGCCCGTTTATTTATGTTTAATTTTTATATTATTTGTATATTCTTTACAGCAAATAAATTACTTATGTTACAATAAAGTCTCGAAATTATTCATTTATTTGAAAATCAGAGAAAATAACTTTTTTATTTAAACGTTTTCACAGAAGACTAACTTCTTATGCACCCTGATGTAGCAAAGTGTACCTGCAGATACATCCTGAATAATTTTCAGAAATGTCCACTTCTTTTAAATATCACACAGAAAGCGTGATTTTCAAAACTTTTAACATCTATCCAGAAATACCCATTTCTTTTAAATACTTCAAAGGAAGCGTGATTTTCAACATTTAACATTGTAGATATATTAGGTATTTTTGAAAGCAGGCAAGATAAAAAATTAGCAACGCATTTTGCCGGAAATCGAATCGCAGACCTCTGGAATATGCGCCCAGCGTACAGACCACCGCAGCAAGAAGGCATGCCAAAAAGGCGGGAGAAATACTTTATAACATATATCGGGCAAATACAGTTATTGCTCTAGTTAATCAACTTAATAATTTACAAATTTTATTGTGAAGAAACGTAAGTCATGAATATTTGTGGGATCAGATGGTAATTGTTTTACACTGCTTTCTTTACCTAACAGTGTTTCCAGATCTCAATCTTCGTCAATTTTAGTTCAGTCTAGTTTTTGTTCGATGTTCGAAACATTTTCACAAGTTTCTAAATCACTGCTAAGAAACTAACACAAACTTCAGCGTTTTTCACTGGAAAGATATCACTTTTCTTTGAATACTTACTTCTCCCCCCCCCCGCCGGCGGCCGATCCACTAAGGTCACTACTAATCAGTTCAAAAGCACCCACTACTGTTAGTTATCTGTAACACAATGCCTAAGATGCACATGCTTAGGCATTATGGCAGAGTCTTTGCCAAATATATACTGTAAATTGCAACTGCTGAAGTTAGAATACAATCTGAAATTCCATAAAAACTGCAAGAATAATCGGATAACTCATCAGCAATTGTTTCACTTCCATCAGTACTGGAATTGCGCGACGTCATTTTCAAAATGGAGAAAACTGTAAAATAGCACAGCTTCTATTAAAGTCACAGAACGCAGTGTTTCACTGATGTCTATCGTGTAACTTAAATTACAGTCTCTTGCTTCCGAAGTTAGAAATTTTCTGGACTGTAGTCACATCCTACCAGTTGCAAAGTATTAACCAGTTAACTGTGATTGACGAGTATACTCGTTATGGAGAAGCGACACGGCTTTGTGTATTGAAGGTTTATTTAGTAAGTACTGTACATAATGACAACGTAATAGAAACAGAGAAAAGAAATATAATAACAAAGACACCGGAGCTAGTGATCGATTATAATAAAAAGATGGGTGGAGTGGATATGAGCGATGGAATTATCATAGCGTACTCCACGGCAAGAAAACGACTCAAAAAGTACTGCAAAAATATATTTCTCCATTTCTTAGACATTATGTGTCTGATTGCAATCATATTATATAAAAAAATAATGGAACATTATCGCGTATAAACTTTTTTTGTTCAAATTTATTGAAGACATTTTTGCGACGTATCCAACTGAAATAAATAAATCGACACAAACTCGGCCATTTAAACCTAATATAAGCCAATTAGGCTGGAATCATGTTCCGGATTATATACCCGAAAAGAAACAACCCTACGAGAAGGTTTTCCCATTGCTACAAAAGGTAAGATCAGGAAAGAATCGCGTCACTAGTGTTCGATTTGCAAAGTCCCATTGTGTATGTACCCTGCTTCGCTGAATATCACTCCACAGCCGGAATTTAAATTCTTACTTTTATATGCATAATACTTAATTTAATTCATTGCGTTTTTAGTTTAATATGTATGTAATATATGCTTCTGTTAACCAAATAAGTAAATATTAGCAATAAAATTTTCAAATTTTATAAAATAAACCCATCTTTTTCATCCAATATCTTACCAGCGCAACGTACTCGTCATGGCTCGATTCTGGCGACACAAAACGGTGCGCACTCTTAAACGACAGCGTCACAGTTAACTGGTTAATAAGGATTATTTTCTTGTTACAGCCTATTCCTGCCTTCTGTAGAAAGTCTGCTATTGGTAAAAGTAATGTTTTGCTAGATGCCTGTGGATAACAGAACTATTGGTTATAAATAGTAAGTTTGCTGGGTTTTCGTTTCTGGTAAAGTGCTTATGTGAGGGACTTACTAAAGGAATTTGACTTACATTCCTATTAAAAACAAGAGAAAAGCCAATAAAACCCGTACCAGCTTATTTATCGGGAATTGAAACTGTTTTGAATTTATTTAATCCACAAGTTTATTGGTGGGTTTCCTCACTGCAACTTGTTGGGAGGTTAAGTGGCCGAAAACCCATTAATACTCTGACCAGAAAACTATTCAACAAATCGGTTACTAACTTTCAGGAGAGACAAAGTACACACAGATGATGAAAATCACACAGCAGTGCATTGTGGAAAAGACTTTCCTGACGCGGTAACAGCAACACAAAACACAAGAAAGGAAGAACAAGAACAGGTTGAGAAAAAATGTTTATCATGCTTCGTACAGCAGAAATCAAGAAATAAGTACAAAATAAACAACGATCATCATCAAAGGTGTTCGAAATTACCCGGACCCTGATGCAGCCCTCACATCTCCGGCACATGGAAGATCTGATGTTCTGGAAAATAACGGTCATGTCCCGGATTTTCTCAGAACTTCTAACGGGAGTTTCGTACACCAGTGTTTTATCTACTTCCCAGAGGAAGTAGTCAGTGCAAGTGAGGACTGGCGATCTTGCTGGCCAAGGCAACGGAGCACCCCTGCCGATCTCATGCTGAGGATACGTTTCGAACATAATTTCGAACACCTTTTGATGGCGATCGTCTGTTTTTCTTCTTATTTCTTGGTTTCAGCTGCATTAATCCTAATAAACATATATTCTCAATTTACTCATGTCCTTCCTTTCTTGTGTTCTGTGTCGTCACTATTGCATGAAGAAAGTGTTTCTGAACATGCATTGCTATGTGTTTTTTCATCGTCCAAGTGTACACTATCTTACCTTAAGTTTGTAACAGATTTGCTGAAACACCCTGTGTACTCGTTCACAGCTAAAACAATCAATTTATAAAGCCTAGGGAAAGGAAGCATAAGAACTGCAAAAGGCATCTAAGTATATTCCAAGCATGGATATTATCAGAAGATTACTACGTTGTCTTACATATTGAAGAAACATACTTTAAGAAAAGTATTTAATGCATCTTACCATCTCTGTGGTAAATCTGTCTGATACTCAGTCCATTGAGATCAAAAATGAAAGTTCTTTGTTCCACATATTTGCCTGTCTATTGAAAGGAAAAGAATGCTTTTTAATTGCTTAAGATGTAAATTGATTCCAAAGTTCTACACATAGAATCTTCATTACATAAAAAACAATAACATTGTAATAAATGAATTTGCAAAGACAGTATAAATATTCATTTTATAAGCAATAGAACTAATTGTTGATACCATTTCAACAGATAAATACAGTAAAATTCATAGCATGATGACTTGCACTATTTTTATATTCTCTCCATAAACTGAAAATTAAATTAGATGGCAATAACAGTCATTTAATTAACAGAAAAAATATATAAGAATTCTAACTACTTACGTATTAACGCCACCAGGCCAAAATTCGCATAAATTGCCAAATTTGGCGACCCTACTTACGGCAACCCTACGTGTTATACGTAGTTTTGTAAAAAGATTCACAAAATGTGGAGATTCACAAAATTTTCCTGCATTTTCGTGCAAATTTTTGTAATTTATGAGAAAATAGCAGTGTACACGGATAAAGTCAAGAGTGTGCGCAATGCCATTTTTGTGAAATTCTGGGATGTTTTTTTAAGTGAAAATAAGTGTGTACATGGTTATGCGAATACGGTTTTCAATCAGTGCTAAAAGCAATAGCCAAAAGATTTCCGCCGAAAAAAATAGTTCTGTAACTATTAAAATTCGAAACCGGAAGGGTTTAATTGCATTTTATATTTTAAAAGAAAATAATATAAAAAAAACTGTATTAAAATTATCTGTAATTAATAAATGTACATTTTCTTTCTATTCATACTTTTTTACTCAAACTTACAAATCGCGCCAACCTGGTGCGATAATACGTAAGTACCGAATTCTATTATAAATGAGACATTTTTAAAAAATTCCCATCTTATTAATAGATAGAGTAACAAAGTACAATTGATAATATAAGATAACACGCAATAACAATTATACCAAAATAGCATAGACAGGATACTTAAAATTAAATTTTGCAAAAAAAAAAAAAAAAAAAAAATTTTTTTCACTTATGTTAATTGTTCCTATAAATATCCTTAGCTGATTTATCTTGAACTTAAGCTCTTTCAGAAAAGCATAAAATGCGATTAATCGATATTCCAAAGACAGTGCTCGTTCTCAACATAATTAAAATGCGTTTTTGATTCAAGGTATATATTTTCATGTTTAAAATCGATAAATTCAGAAGATTTCTTAATTAATTTCTAAAAGTTACACATTGATTTGTGTTTCAAATTCTCATAACACACTAAATAAGAAGATAATTAAAAACAAATTATGGTACAAAAAGGGAGAAAATAATTATTTAATTTTAAATTCAGAAGCTTCCAAATATCTTAAAATCGCAATTCTTTCTTTATTAGTTAGTTTATTCATATCTTCTTACTGCACAAAGGTTCACATATGCTTAATAAACAAACGTTTACCAATATAAAATTTTTTATTCAAATTTAAATTAGTAGAATACTGTAGTTCATAAAGTGATTATAAATAAACTACTCGTATTTCAATCATTTTCCAACTAACTGAAATTAATAAGAAGTAATTATTAAAATTCATTTTCTACTAAATAAAGACATCTGATGATAAATAAAGAATAAATTTAATCTTACTTTCTTAAAATTACATAGTTTATATAAATTATAAATATACTTCAAATAATATGAAAATGATGCCAATGAAAAATATTTGCTTGCTTTTTCAAGCAAAAATGTTTTTAGGTTTAAAAAAATAAAAACTATAATATTTAATCAGACAAGAAAGTTTCAAAGAGAAACTAACAAGGGATTAGCTATAATAAAAGCTACATGAACTGAAAATCTCTAAGAGAATTTGTAAAATCTTTCACATAAACAATAAGCAACATTTCTCCATAAATACTTGCTAGCCATTAAACTTGTTGCATCAGGTAGGAAAGCAAATAGCAGAATCTTATTAATTGTATGATTACATTTTCAGGTGGTTTGGCGTGCACAGAGTGCAGAATTTAATACACAGAGCCGCCACTTTTGGGAGCAACAATTCCTGTAATCTGGCTGGGCATTGAGTCGAATTGAACTTGGATGACAGATGCACTGCATACGGTTTCAGCTCTATGTCAAAGTTCATCAATCGTAATGGCTGGAGGTGGTGGCGTAACAGTCTCTTGGCTACCCATGACCAAACGTTGACAGTGGGTGAGGGATCTGAAGAACTTGCTAGCCATGGCAACAGTCAAACACCCTCTGTATTGAGAAAAGTCAGGATAGTACAGGCAAAATGCATGTATACAACGGAGGGGGGTACTGTTGAAAGATTGCATTGCGCAAGCCTCAAAAATAGAGCACAACCATCGTCACTTCAGAATGTAACAGCTTCTATCCCCATTTCAGAATCTAAATCTCAGTTGCACCCATACAAACAAGCCACAGGCTGCGTTCATAGGATCTGAAATGCAAGCTGGCAATGTTCGTCCTCGGTGCCTCCAGGCACAGATACGTTCATCATGATTCTGTATGGGGAAACAATATTCATCTGATCTGCCCGAGAAAATGAACGAAAACATCGTTTGTCGTAGGCGCGTCTGTGTCTGCAGAAACATCAACGGAACTTGCAACAATGGTCCATAGTGCAGAGACAGTCCGCGGTGGTGCAGTCGTTGTTGCAATATCCGTGTGAACACTTGTCATCCTGCACACAAGCCAAGTTCCTGACTCAGGATATGTGATATGGCTGTACAATCTCGCAAGTCAGAGGGTACAGCATGTCTGACTTCTTGAGTGTTAGCAGCCTGAGACCGATGACATTCTGCATGGTGTTCAGTATGGTTCCAGGCATAGAAACCCGACCAACACGAGCAGTAATGTTGTAGAATGGTAAACTGCAGTGCCATTATCCTGACGCGGCTGAATACCGGCACGTATTGGTGGGAAATTTTCTTACGCGACGCATATTTTCATGCAAATCTGACGTTTGTAACATTCCGCCTTCAAGTTGTAACAATTTTAATTGCAAGCAGATAAACTACAGGATGAGTTATTGCTCGGATGCAATAAACATTAAATGTTGCACGAAAAAATTAGTTAACAGTACCCTAAATAGAATTCATTTCATTTAGTTAATCAGTGAGATGGAAGTAAATTACTAAATTGAAACATATTATTTTGCATTTATCAAACAATGTAAGCAATCATGATTTCCATAAATCCAAGTGTGTTGAATTAATATACTTATTATTTTATCAAAGGTTAACAAGTCCTGAATAAAATTAAATCTAAGCTATTAAATAAAATCTTATGAAACTCTTCAATTTTTTATAGATTTATTCTGCAATAATATTCCTACGAAATGATGAGTATATTTATCTTTTTGTTATAAACCGTAGTTTTAGATGAAGATTTGAATGCAGAAATTGACTCAAAAATGTACGTAATGTACCTTAATTCTTTGGCAAGAAATATAAAGCCGTAAACTGTTATTGAATATTTGAGAGTATGAGCGTGTATATCTGTTAAGTCATTATTTTCTGTTCTGAGTTTAGCTTAAAAAATAAAATACATGCGTGGAGTAAATAAAGTCAATGAAACAATGAATTACCTCTGCGCTGCGCTTTTTCATTTCTGCTTTATCTTTATCGAGAAACCACGTCACGCATCTTCGGATTTCTGGCCTCCGAACACAACTCATTAATCCTGAAAACAAAAAACTTATTCAGAATAAGATATATATGAATGAATAAGAATGAATATATATTGAATGAGGAGGAATTTATTCCCTCGTCACATATAAATTGATTACAGAACACAGAAAATAAACTACAAAATTTCTCTTGTAACAAAGACATTGGTAGAAAATAAACTCCGAAACTTCTCTTGTAACAAAGACACTGGTAGAAAATAAACTAGTGATAAATGTTACTAACATAAAAGTAGTTAATTACGGAACAGCATACATTCCGTATTTGCCTTTATAGAAAAATTAATGTACAAAAATGCCTAAAAGAAATGGCTCCCACTAATAAAACAAGCGCGAAAAAATTTTCCGAATTAGTCTACTTTACCAGGAAATGACTTGCAATGCAATTATTTTAACGTTCAGCCACTTTTTTTTAAAACTAATGTTCGTTCGCAACCGCCTTTCATTACATTGAACATTTCATATGTTTCTAGCAAGAAATTTTCTTTGTAAACATTTTCTATATGTAGCGAACATGGCCTGCTAACATGCACATGTTAATATTACAACGGCAATTCATGCAATGAAACCGATGGAATTTCAAACCTGTTTTAAAATTTGCTTTAAAAAGATATGCCTTTCTGTTGAATCAAACTGATGTAATCAAAAGGTTATTAAAAGTTCAGTGATTAATTACATGAAGAGTAGCTATTGAAAGATCTTTGGAATTTCCAAATATAACACCTTTCAAAATATTATTACAGAAGTTATCTTTTTTTGCTCTATTTTAGAAGACAATGCCATTTTTTTTTCCAGTGGGAGAAACCAAGTTTTAATAATTGTTAGTTCACTAATGACATATAACCCTTAAAGCTGTGTTTCTCAACTTTTTTCCCCAAAAACAACCCTTTCACCATTGTTAGATGCCCATCGCTCCTCCTTTTCCAAATTTTAAAAAGATATATGTACATTTATTTATTCACTAATGCGTTTTATAAATTAAAAAACGAGTAGAAAATAATGGTAGGCTGGCACTGCTACCGACACATTTTGTGCTGCTCCACGGGGCGGCAGAATGTAAGGGGAGCAAAAATTTTTAGGACTTAGGCAGGCACTAGGCAGAATTTAGAAATTGCAGATATTGCATAGGGCAGTAAATGTCTAGCGGCGGCCCTGAGCACAAAAGCGGACACATTTTTTACCCTTTAATTTCTTACTGATATCAAAACTTCGAATTCAGAAGGAAGTTAATTTCAAAGATTAAAAAAAAAAAAAAAAAAATCTGAAATGTTTCAGATTTTATACGTCCAAAGGGGCGTTTTTTAACATTTTGTGTGTTACCTTTCTTTATTAAATATCATGTTCCTCGCACTTAAACCATAAGATCCAGTGCAACAGCAATATCGCAAAATAGTTTTAAAACGAGCATATCTCTAGAATTTCCGATACAGAGACTCACGCGCTGGAGATAAAAATGTTTTTTCTGCACAACGTTGCCATTGCTCGCTTTGAAATCCTTGAGTTTGTTAATCAAAAATTCGTCAAAGTTTTAAAAAATAGGAAATCGATCATAAAACAAATTTCAAATTTCAAATTTGGTCTTCCACATGCTCATATCGTTGGAGGATTACGTTATTCAAAATTCGATGACTCTATGTACCGTTGTTTTATCACAATAGAGAAATATACATACATTTATGCAGATTTTTCATTATTTAATTCTTCAAATATAATGCAGGACTCTAACATTTTGTGGCAACAGTTTGAAAAGTGAACCGACATTTATGAGTCCGACGCAAAATGCCAAAACGAAACTAATAGTCCTTCGGGATTCAAATCCCTTTGGACTAAAAAAAAAAAAAAAAAAATACTATAAATAACCGATTGTGTGTAAGGGAGGATGGATGATAAATTTAAATGTCTTAATGCTTCCGCAGTAGCGACTTTTGCCAAGTGGCTGCTGCTAAAATCTTTCCCTTCTTTTTGTCTATCATTTTGACTCATGATCATATTTTTGGTTTTATTTTACTAGGATAAGACTTTGCATGTTAAGCGAAAATAAGACACCTTCTTCAAGCTATAACAGCAAATAAATAATTAACCATTTTTTATTGCTTTTTAATTATATTCAAACATGTACATATATATATGTGTGTGTGTGTGTGATATTTCGGCAGTCGTGATGAAGCTTGGCATCAAAGTTCAGGCATGGTTTTTGGAGAGTGGTAAGGAGGATATCCAATGACGATACAAAGAGGAGTTTCACTTTTAATTGCACATATTTATTTAATTCAAATAGCAGATCAATTTCCTTTTCCGACAAAGTTGTCCAAATTACATATTCAATAATGAGTTACTGAGTACGATTAAATTTTGACTTTCTGCGTCATAACATTCTAACAAAGAAAGAAAGATGAGAAGCGTAGCAGCATAGGTCCTAGCATAGCACAGGGAAAGAGAAGCTTCTGACGCAAAATGGCGCGCACTCAGTATTTATAGTAGCAGTTATGTAATAGGCGCGAATGTTCTGGAAGGTACTCGTCTAGGGGAAAGATCCTGAATTGCAGAAAATAAATTAACCCTTTCGCCGTTCTCTCCTGTCCGCGAAAATTTCCCCTCCAGCGGCCGTCTGTTTTTCGTAGCGTGTAATGTCGTTTTCTCTGTACATCATAACTTTCCATACATGACTTTCGTAGTGGATGAATGTCAATAAATATTAAGTAAAATTAAAGGAAATAAGCATAATGAAAAAATAAATATCTGCTATTTCTAACAGCAGGTAATTTGATAACATCGATCCACGCGGTCCACTCCTCCCATTTTGTTGTGTAATCTTTTATAATTATTTTTTTTTTACAGTTTTTTTCCCATGTTCAACATCAATCATCGAGTTATTATGGACTGTACTCATCAAACGTATATCCTTCTTGTCTTCCAATTCACAACCTCCACTTTTTCTCTTTTCCTGCTGAGTAGGGTTGAAGCCATCTCTCACTGTCTTGTATCTTATGTTAAAATGGCGCGAATATTCATAAAACCCGGGGCAAATTCAATTAGAAATAGAATGCCTGATCAGTGCTACCCTCTAGGAGGTATTAGAACAAAGAACAAAAATAAAAACTCAAACATGTAAACATTTAGAAAGCGTTTTAAACGTTTAAAAGTTTTAAAATGTAGAAGAACGCTTGAGGCGCGTTACGGCCGCCCTGCGGAAGTTTCACTTGAACGCGCTAGACGCGTTACTCACGACGAAGAGGTTAAAGGTTGCGTATTCGCGAAGAGCAAAACCATCCCTCTTTTTTTTTTTTTTTTTTTTTTTAATATATATAAGTTTGATGCTACAGATTGCAACAAAAAATGCCCTACTACACGTTACAGCAATCCCATGTAGAACGTTGAAATTTTGTACATGGGACTGCTGTAATTAATAGCATTTCTTAATTACATGGGACTTGTAATTAACAGCATGACTTAATTACATGGGACTGCTGTAATTAACAGCATGTCTTAATTACATGGGACTGTTGTAATTAACAGCATGTCTTAATTACATGGGACTGTTGTAATTAACATCATGACTTAATTACATGGGACTTAAGTAATTAAGATTTTGTACATGGGACATGGGTTGTGCGAAATACATACATCCGTACGTAAGTATGTACAGACGTCAGGAAAATACCTTACCTGAATCTATTTTACAATCAATTTTGAAATAGTCCTCTATTTCATCGGTACGTACAGATGTCACGCAAAAAAATCGTCTAAATTAATTCGAGAGCGGTCAAAATGGATATTTTCACTGAAATATGAGACTCGAAAATTTTCACCATTAGAATACTTCCTTTACTTCGTACAGCGAATTCAAAAGAAAAAGAAATAACAAATAAATAAATATAAACATAAATATAAGTAAAATAACAAATAAATAAACAATAATAAACCAACACAAAATAAGTATTTATACATTCTTAACATTCAGATTCTAAACTATTAATGATTGCAAATAAGCTTAAATCTCAAATTTTCTTGAATTCCGTAAAATTTTATAAGAAACTGTTGAATCAACTAATTTTATAAATGAGTTGAATTTACCATTAGCTGTAAAATTTTATGAGAAACTCAAATTTTCTTGAATTCTGTAAATTTACGTTTTAAGCAACAGAAATAAATTAAAGCATTTATAAATGACACTCCTGTATAAATACTTAACAGTTAGTTACCTTTGATATCTGTTGGACCAACATATATTAATCGAACAGGACAACCAAATTTATCATATCCTAGCAAAGGTGGAAGAAGATATTTCACTAAAAACTGAAACAGAAAAAATATTGAAGATTAATTTGAGGTAACGTACGACAGAAAAGAAGGACATTGCACTCCCAATTGAGAAGCTTTATCTAAAAAACATAAGTTCGTTTATTGTTGAATGATGGGAAAATTATGACAAACCAACAGGATAAATAAAATTTCTACAACGAATACTTGTGAAAAAGGAGTAGAAACTGCATGGAATAAGTAGTAACTGTAGATCAGCCTTTCTCAACCTCTTGACTAACTTTTCTTTAACATTAACGCGGAGTTGCACAATTTGTGCGGTAGCTATACCTGTCGACAAATGGTGAAATTATGGTTTCCCGCCCACCTCTGCGTATACCTGTCATTCAACGGTCTGTAAGATATTTAATTTATCACTCAAATTATAAATGTTTGGCAAAGTTAAAAGATTTAAAAGCAGTACATACATTTAATAATATAAAGCTTAATTTCGTTCTTAATAATCTGTTTCACTAATTTTTAAAATGCATTTAATTTATATATAAATTAAACTGAGAATTTTCAAATTAAGATTATAAATTATTAAAATCATGCAATATGCTGCGAAATTAATTAAGATAATAAATTATTAAAGTCATGTAATATGCTGCGAAATTAATTAAATAATCAAGAAAAAAGAATTAAACCAAAAATTAAATCAATCTCCTTTTCTGATTTTATTATATGTACATATAACCGACTGTCAATTATAAACATTTGTAGTACTGCTAAAATTGGCAAAAGTGCTTCTAACACAGTACTACGGTACAGATTTATCTAGTTTTTGGGTATTGCTGTATTGCTGACATAGCACATTCTACATTGACGTAGTACATCATATACGAATCAATGGGGTTGAAAATTAACAGTATTAAAAAAAACTCCCAAATAATAATAATGATAATAACGAAGTCAATTCTTTATGGCACACGCTTTAACGAGTTTAAAAATACTTTGGAGGTACTTTAAAAATCAAAAAAAGTCCTACAATTTTTGTAGAGTCATTAGGTTTTTTTGAGGCAGGAGAGGTGAATGTGCAGTGACTCGCCGTGATTCGAATCATGGACTTCTCGATTGTGCTTACAATTACACTACGAAGGCATGCTTGGAAGGAGGAAAAAACTACTTTATATACTCCCCCTTTTGAAGGGCGACTGGGGATTAGATTCCCAATCGCCAAATTCTGGTGGTGACAAAATATCGCCCACCACTTTACAGTTCGGGTGCTACTTTAAAGTTACTAAAGTCTTTTTTTTTTTTTTTTTTTTTTTTTTTTTTTTTAAGCAGAAGACGTGACAAACGCGCCCTGGACAGGACTCGAACCCTGAACCTCTGGAATAGGCGACGAGTTTGCCTCTTACACCACAAAGTCATGCGAAAAAAGGAGAGAAAGTAACTTATCAAAGTAAATTACAAAAATCAGTTGCATAAGATTGCATAAGAGTAAACAATGACCTGTTTATGTGCTGTTAAGGGGACTCATACATCTTAAAACACTTATAAGATCTTCGAATATGTGACTGTTGCAAGAATTGGGATAACTTATTCATTTTAAAAGCAATTACTTCCAACTTTTTACTACAGCTGACTACATAATATAGCTGCTTTCTGAAATAATAGTCAGAAAGTTTGTGTTGCCACAAATATTTTTATAATTTAATCCGCTTTGTGACAAAATGTTTCGTCATGTTTCCACCTTCCGCGCACAGTTTAAAACATTCTGTTGCATAATTTAATTCTATATGTAATACATAGCTTTTATAACATTTGGAAACTACTGTGAACCAAAAATGAATTTCATGTTAAATTTTTATTTTATTTGGAGTTGAGTTTATAAAATGCATTTTATTAAAAAATCTGCAATTTTTTCGTGCATAAATTTTTTAATATTAAACTATTCATCAGATTTTTGGTTCAGTTAGAAAATAGTATCCGTATAAAGAATTCCATCCAATTTCAAGTATGTACCATTAGCCATTTTTAAAATATCATGCGCGCAAGGTGAAACATGACGAAAAAGTTTGTTTAAAAGTGGATAAAATTACAAAAATATTTGTGGTAACACAAACTTTCTGGTTACTAGTTCCCAAAGCAGCTATATTATGTACTCAGCTGTAAAAAGTTGGAAGTAATTGCTTTTAAAATAAATAAAAATATCCCAATTCTCGCAACAGTCACATATTCGAAGATCATAAGGAATTTAAAAAGTATGAGCCTCCTTAAAGTCTCAAGAAAGTTTGATGGACATTGTCTTAACGTACGTCGTTAAAGACTTTACGCATATACTTACATAGGACATAACTATAACACTATAATACACTATCAATATAAATCTCAATTCTTCAGTTCTGTGTTTGAATTACAGGTTTGCTACTCTAAATTACGATTTTTGAAACTTAAAATATTACCTCTGATGGCTTATATTCATTCAGCAGATAATCTTCGTCGAATTCTTTTCGAAATTCTAGATGCTGAAATAAAACATGAAATTAATTCAGTCTTAATGCATATAAACTTTTAACCTCAAATACGAATATTTATTAAATAAAATGTAATATAGATAAATCCTGTAATGTCGTCTTACAGTGTTAAAATTGAAATATTTAATGAAAATGAAACGCCCATCACTTTTGTCAGATTCACATTTTAGTTTGCTTCTATATGATGCTTAAAATATATCAGGAGCACAAATTTTGTGATTTAACATTTTTATGTGACGTTAAATATTGGAAACTTGGAGTAGGCATATGAAGAATACTTCACCAACATTTTCCCTTAATGTTAAATTTAAACGAGAATGTATATTCTGTAATATTAATGTAAAACAAAAATCTGAAATGGACACTACATCACTTCCTTGTACAGCCTATTAAATTATACACAATTTTGCTGCAATTCATTTACACTTATTTCCTCGAATTTCATTATAGATATATATTTCATTAAATTAATTCAACTCTTATTTCGCAGAAAGGCAAAAATACATAAAAATTCGAAACATCTTCATTAAAAATTGTAAAATGCAGAAAAACATAAAACACCAAATACAGCTAAAAACAGTTAACACTAGAGTTTCTACGCCAAAATAAACAAGTCATTCAATGGGCAGGAAAACAAAATTTTCGGTACACAAAATTTTAATTTAATTTTTGGTTCCACTTGGGAGAGAGAGAGAGAAAAAAAAAAAAAAAAAAAAAAACTGAAGTTGATGCACCAATTGACTTATTTCATTATTCTACTAAGAGTTTCAAACCGTAGGCTTAGTACCTCTTAAACAATTTTCAAATTGTTGATAATTCTACAACTATTGAATGCAGATTAACTAAAGGAATAAAAACCTTAATGAGAACGTAAGAACAACATAATTCAATAACCTTTAAAGCAAAAATTGCACAATTAACCAACATATAAAAATCTGAGTTTACTGAGCCGGGTAACAGAATGAGTATTTACATATACGATTGCGATGAAAAAGGGAGATGTACAACTACATGTTATAGCAGTCCCATATACAAAATTTCAATGCTCTGAGGCTACTCGTTTTCGAGTCATATGAGATACATATGTATGTAGGTACAGGCGTCACAAAAAAAAAAAAAAAAAAAAAAACAATCTCTTCTGAATCCATTTTAAACCTCTTTTACAATCCATTCTGGAAGAGTGAAGAGTACTTTATTTTGTCCTGACGTACAGATGTCACGCAAAAACAAATTTCGTTCAAATGGAACCGAGAGCGGTCAAAATAGATATTTTCGTTGAAATATGATACAAGAAATTTTTCGCAATTACAATACTCCCTTTACTTCGTACAAGGAAGTAACTACACACCGGTAACTGCGTTGAATTTTTTTTTTTTTTTTTTCAATACCAAATTGTGAACAATTACAGATGTAACCCAGTCCATTAATGTATAAAAGGCCGGATGTGGTGGTCTCTTTATTAGAGGCACCTAATAGGTGGGCCACCATCGTCTTTCCTATGCAGGGACGGACAGTTACAACCATGCCTTCTCCGGGATTCGAACTCAGGCCCTTCGGCATCGCAGTCAGCTTCCCTGACCACTATACCGACTGGGTGGCTAGCATGGACTGGGCGTTGAAATGGTGGTGGTGTATTTAATTACGGCAAAGTACACTAGGGCTATCTGCCGAAGGGGAGGGATGCCTTCGTGGAGGACTTTCTAAGGGAAACTGGCTCGTATACACGCTACACATGGGGAAAACCACGAAAACACCCATGCAGCCAGCCCGTTCGCGGGATTCGAACCTCGGACCGAACTACCAGTGTTCAGCGACATTACCGCTCAGCCGCTGGTGGGCCTGAGCGTTGAAATGTAAAAGCTGAGATTTAACCCTTTGCGGCACAGACTGTCCGGTCTAAACACACCTAAAAATTTCCTTCTGTACGCACAGAAAAATTGAACGAAGAGGACTTATACGTAACTATAGGTTGCTGTGAACCTTCTTTATTTATAGTAGACGGCAGCTCAACACAAACCAGTCATGTTTAGTTATTAAGACAATCATTTTCCAGATTTTTTTTTTTAGGGTATAAAAGGAATTGTTTTGAAAAGAAATTTCTATGTTATTTTTTTGGCTATACGCTAATCTCCTTATTCTATATTAGTTTTAAATTTTTACCTTGAAATCTTGCCTAAAATCAAACGGCGAACCCTAGGTGTGCCCAGACCGGGCTCACCGATCATCTAGGACAACTAAGAGTCTGCATTCTTTGTTTCTCCGCAGCTCGTCGGTCAGTTCATTGACAACAATGCTCGTTTCAGCTCTCTTTTCGAAGCTCTATTCAATCAGTCTGCCCACTTTAGGCACACCCACAGAATTAAAACGATAAGTGCTATCTTCACAAAATTTTACTTGTGTACTCCTCTAGGCCTAATTAGACTGCCTACCTTTTTTTTTTTTTTTTTTTTTACTAAAACTCCGACTTTAAAAGGTAGCGTGCCGAAAAGGATTAATAGGAGAGAGTAAGTTGCTTTTTCTTGAGCTATTATATACCTAGGTAAATTAAGAAGTATACTCAGATATTTTTCAGTAATATTTTATTTATTGTAAGTGTTTAAGACAAAGTGTAGTTTAATAATATAATTATTTCCAATTGCAGAGGCAGTCACGAATTGCATTAATATATTATTATTTTCAGTTTTATATGCTGTCCTAAAAATCTCCTTTTTACAATCCTTTGTTTTACTAATGGTATTTAATTTATATGGTTCCCTGTTCTTACATTATGGTTTTTGTTTTCAATAACGATTTCCTTGCATTGATATGCAACATATCACGAAAAACCTGTCATGACATGCAATAATGACTTTCCAGCTACAAACATACAACGACTTTCCAGTCAATAATCAACCATAAAAGGCCTGCATAAAATATAAAAATAAAAATACCTCATCCTTCTACTTCGACGAATTATTTTTTTAAAGGTAAATTTATATATAGTAGTATATAGTTGAACATAAAGGCGAACATATGAAGTATGTACTTGCATACTTACCCAACAAAATTTTCAGCATGTAATTTGGAAACTTTTAATTTATGATAACATTGAAAAATATATGCACGAATCGGAAAACTTTGTGTATCGGATAGAAGTGCGGATAGAAGTGCATTTTTGGATATTCTGTGGGAGTCAGGTCTTTTAAAACGGAGTTTGGCGTGTACGAAATGCGGAGCTGATATGAGAAGTCGAACGAAGAATGGTGTTTCTGATAGACTTATGTGGGTTTGCAGTCAAATGGTTGCTGCTAAAGTATGTGGCTATCAGCGGAGTTTAAGATTTGGATTGTGGTTTTCGTGTAGTAAGTTAACTTTGGAAGAAATTTTTATCGTTACTTTCGAAATTTTGAATCACAGAAAGACATGTGATATAGCAAACTCGTGGCACTTTTTGTTGACAGACGTTGTGTGACTGGCGAAATTTTATTCACGTATGTATTATGGTAAGTGAATTTTATTTTATTGCTTTTATTTTGTAGAAGGTTATGTTCAATGTTTTTTTACTATGAATTTCTGTTGTTATTTGAATTTTTTGTAATTTATTTTAGTTTATTTTGTTGATTTGTGCGCAATGCCTAGATTGTGCAATTCGTAGATGTTTTTTTAAGTTTAAGCAGAATGCTGTGTACATGGTATTCTTTGAAATTTATTGTTATGTTAATTTATTAAAGCGAGGTGTGCGTAGTTCGTATATTCTTTCGCTGCCTAGATTGTGCAATTGGTAGATTTTTTTTTTAAGTTAGAACATATCGCTGTGTATATGGATTCTTGTAAAATATTTTTGGTTAGAAACTTTACGTTTTTGCTATCTAAATTTTTTGTTTTTGTTTCGGATTTTTAGCTTAAATTATGTGATCTAAACGTGGTTTTTGGAGACATTTTAGGCTTAAAGTTCGAAATGTAGACAAAAAAATTTAGATAGTAATATGGCACCGTGGGGTTTTGGCGAGAAATTTGGCGACCTGTGAGCGCATATAAGAGTAGTTCCATATAGTTAAATGCATAATAAGCGACAATTGTATGAATTAAAAAATATTTAAATGTTCTTAAATACCATGATAATTTAATGAAAACAATGATAACTGCATGTATAGTATCAGTGTACATGGACTATTTGAATGCCGTGGCAACTTCACCCCATTGGCTAGTGCAGTTACACAAGCAACCAATAAACTATCGGCGACAACTTAAGCCGCATATATATAAGATACACTTAAGTCGCATATATATAAAATATGCCAAATTTTAAAATGCGCCAATATATAAATTCACGTATATCTTAGAAAATTTTAAATAAAAAACTAATTTTTTGCAGGTATACTTAGAAATACATCTACTTTAACAGGATGTAAAAAATATTTTAAGGTATAATACAATTTTTTTAGAAAAATTTATAAAAATATTTTAAAATAGAAAATTTTAAAAATAAACTATAAAGATGTGCTAATTATATTTGGATTATGCCTAAATTTCGAAATGTGAAAGGAAAAAATCAAGTAAAAAAAGATATTAATAAATATATATCAAATTCAATTAACATGGAGGAGCTAAAATTTTGAGAGCTAATTTTTTAAAACCTACTCGTGAAATTTTTACGAAACTCGGCAGTTTGGCATCATTTGAGTCGTAGAATCAAAATATGGAACAAAATTGGCATGTCATTTCAGAAAAATTCTGATTTTATGTCAAAATTCCGGTATTAGAATAGTGCTATATATAAGTCTAATACATATCCTAAGTCGCGCTTTCGAGACATGAAAAACGCAAGTTGAATTTCGTCAATCGGCCCAGTAGAACGGGAGATATAAAAACTGTCTCAAGCACCCCTTTTTTTTTGCGCAGTGTACCTCCGGGTTCCAAAAAATTTGTGGGAAGCTATTTCGACCATTCTCATCTTCCTATGACTTTTATCAGCCGAGATATTAATGCAAAACTCTGAAAACGCTCATTTTCGCACCCGGCAAATTGCTTTTTTCGCCGACTTCATTGCTGTTCGCCGTGCTACGTCGATGCGCGTAGAAATTGCCATCGTCTTTTCTAACAGAGGTAGTGTAACATTTTTATAGAATCACGTGACCCGTTTACTATTATTAATCATGTACTAAACAGGTTACATTCACATTGAAATGTTTTTATATATTTTCTATTCATATATATGTACATAGAACTTATAAATTTTGCTTTGACTTCAAACCGCTAATAATTAACTCCTATTAGTGTACCTTTTTGTGTGCTTTCTATTGTGCTATGTGTCGCTTAAGCCGCCGCTTCAGAAATAGTATACACCGCGTATTTCTCCTCACGGCAATCGAGTGGTTAGTGGGAAAGGCGGAGGGGAAATACGCGTAAAAATGCAACATAATTATGCATATTAATTGAAATATGCTCGATATAAAATGCTTAAAAATAAGAAGTGAGAATAGTAATGACATTTTAAAGAAACTCATGGAAGAAATAGCTCATAATAATATTAATCAAGAACATAATAAAAGAAGATCTAAATACCTCTGAATGAAAAAAAAAAAAAAAAAAAACTTTTGCAGCTTTTCAATGGAGAAAAAAAGCATACTTTCATTAACTTACATTTATATCCACTTAAAGAAAAGAACGTGTTTGGGGTTTTAATTCTGTTAAATTTTTCTTTATGCTTAATCTGCATGTTTCGATTGGCTTGTGCTACCTGATTCCACAGGTGATAATAGTAGTTCAGTGGACTGAATTTTGTCAGTACCCGCACGACACATTCCTCGTGCTTTTTTCTTAAATTTGATGGCTCTGCAAATACACGCATAATTTCTCCATATTTCCCACGACCACACTCGCATGAAGACTGTAATCATAATTAGTATGGCAATGAAATGCACCAAGATTTAAATAAACGTGCAGCATTGTCTCGAGCAGTGCGTATTCGAATGTTTTCCAGTCTTGCTTCCCGTTGCTCGTCTGTTTCAGACGTACGGACTTGAGCAGTACGAATTTTTTCTAATCTTGCCTACCCGTGCTCGTTTGTGGTTAAAATTCCATAATCGGGGTGAGCGCCAAGCTTGGCGAAAGTTTTTTATTTGGCGCGATTTTAATTTGGTTGTGGTTTCCTGCTGTCTGTTTTATTGTGGCAAACCTAGAGCTTTATTTGGGTAACCGTAAAGAGCGCGAATTTAGTGTAGCCAGATTTTTTTTTTTAATTTGAATTTTGAAATACTGGTGTTTGAATTTTGTGTTAAAGTATTTACTGTTAGTTTTTTTTCCTATATATTTTGGTAATATTTGTTTAATTTATATTTGTTTTGCAGAAGGTTAATGTTGTTGGTGGAGAATGTTGTTTTTCATTGACATGTTTAGTTTATAATTTATGATTTTTTCATTTTTTTTTTAGTTTTTTTTTTTTTTTTTTTTTTTTTTTTTTGTGCTTTTTGGTAGAGGTTGCACGGATTTTTGGCAATTTACGTTGGCGCAATTGTTGGCGCGATTTCTGCAAACGTCAGCCATCTTGAAAAAACGCTGTTTTTTTTTAGCATGTAAAGTATTCGAAACTTAAAAAAAAAAAAAAAAATAAATATCGTTAGAATAATGGATTAATTTATTTGTTGAAAATGTCGTTTTTTTAAGATGGCAGGCAAGTGTAAATAAATACATTTCTATGAGTACTCAAGTAAGGTTATTATTACTTTCATATAGCAAAGAAGAGAATAAAAACACCGCTATAAAAACATTGTGCCAACGTTTAATTAGATTAAATATTACTGAAATTGAATATCGAAATAAAAAACATCATCCAACATTTAAAACAATTAGAATATTATTAAATTTAAAGACTTTAAAATACGTTATAGAAATAATATATATATATATATATAATAAATAAAATATAAAAGGTTAATTCTACTATGAGTATAGCAAGATAGAATAAAAATCCACTATAAAACATTGCGCAACGTTTACTTTTTTAAAATAGTAAATTGAATATGAATTAAAACCATCATACCAACGTTTGAATTAAAATATTACTTTAAATTAAATTACTTTACTTTAAATAAGTAAATAAACGCTTCGTACACTAAAGAGCTAAAATGAGAGCTAAAATGACAGCAATTAGTTTATTGTCGGTAAAAAGAGGAGGAATGTAATAATTTTCTTACTGTTACAGCGGTTATTTCTTCCAACATGACCACATATATATACGGGCCGTCTCAGAATCGGCTCTTCTAACGTTCTTCTTCATCTGTGATCTACATTTTCGCACTTCATTGAAGAAACAATTAGCGACGTTTCTCCAAAAAAATTTAAAATAAATTTTCTCTGACCCTTGGTAACAATTTATAAATAATTTGATTAGGAAAGCCAGGCCTGGCGAAAATAAGGTCTCAAAGGACAATTTTTTGATTCCGAAACCAAAAATTCTTGGTACTTATCAAAAACAACATTCATCTTTGAAGGAGACATTTTTGAAGGAATTCGAAGATACGAATTAAATTTTAAAATGGCGCGGTAATGCACAAATTTTCAGCAACCTATCAGGGAGCTGATTACAGCTCATTAATGCACAAATATTCTATAACCAATCAGAGAGCTGATTACATCACGCCTAGCTAGAATTAAAATTATTAAATAATCATACATAATAAAATCATTTAAAAAAAGAAATGCAAAAATTAAAATTGTATTTTAATATTTAACAGCCATAAATGTTTAAAACATTATATTAAAATTTATAGATATTAAAACCAATTACCTTTAAAGTAAGATGACGTCACTGATTACATCATCCACAGCATAAAATTTCATAAAATATGATAAAGAATAAAATTTTATTTCAAATAAAAATGCAAAATTAAATTGATTTTTAAATTTTAGAAGCCATAAATAATATTTAAAACACGGAATTTATGCATAATAACACGCATTATTTTTTAAATAAAATGTCAAGAAAGTATCGGTTACCATAAATAACTTATCCAGCAATGGGTTTACCATAAGTCGTATTACTCGCCAAAAGAAAAATTGCCAAAAACTCGCCAAAATCCGTGCAACCGTCTACCAAAGTAGCACCTTTTTTTTTAGTTTGGTTTCTTGCATGTGGCAATCGAAAGATGTAGAATATTTAAAGCTTTGAACGAAAGTTGTTTAGTGTGTTGAATTTCACGTCGATAGTAACTTGAATGTTTTAGTTACTTTATGATGCTGAATACGCGTAATTTGATATTCTGTTTACGTTTAAAACTGACTTCTCAGTGCTCTGATCTGATAAGTGTATACATTTATTCAATAATTATTTACAAGAATTGTTCATTCTACTATTTCATGATGAATTACATATATATAGGAGTATGCTTTTACTTGCAAAGCTGTTGGACTTTGTTTTACTCATCTAGTATTTTATCATCTCATTTTACTATTCTGTTTACGTAAAATAAAGTCGTTTCACTACTGCAAAACTTAAAAGTTACTATTCTGTTTAAGTTTAAAAATCACATTTTAGTGCTTTCATTGTCGCCTAAAAAATTCGCCAAATTTTGAAGGTCAAAATAGTTTGGCGCTAACTTACCCTGCTTATGGAATTTTAGCCTCGTTTGTTTCTGAAGCTCGCGATGCCTTTTTCTTTCGTGCTTGAGGTGTAGACCGAGTGGTCGATTTTCGTTTTGGTGGCATAATTGATTTCACAGCGAAAGTAATGCTTTGTGAAGACTATTACAAATTTAGTTTCAAAAAGCAAAGTAAAATGCGAGTGATGCAATAACACGCACGTTAATGCGTGGAAAATTAAATATTTTACGCTTTGCTGAACGATAATACACTTTAAAATATTTTAATTTGGGCTGTGGCAACCCATTTCTCTTAAATAGCCGCGTTTGTTCACTAAATTCGAAACAAATTAATATAATTGCGTTTTCCCAAATGGCAACACTTTTTTTAATATCGTGGAATTTTCTGATTAAATTTGAAACGTATATATCTCACGCTTTGCAGAGAGATAACGCAAAGCTTTTAAATCGCTAAGTTTTTAAACAAAAGATTGTTAAATTAGCCTAAAATATATTAAGAGTGAAGACCTTATGAGCGGGTTTTTCAGAAATCTTTTCAATGACTTTCCTCTTGTTTTAAAGGTCAAGTGTAGCAAGTATGATAAAGATCGGAATTAAACTGTAAATTTGTATCAAACATGCCAACTTTTTTTATATGAGATTAAAAAATCGCTGTTTGTTTGCAACACGCAATGAACGCCAAACAAAAATTTTTTAATTTTTATTACACCAGAAGGTCGGATGGTTATTATACGAATAGATTATCTTACCTTCCTAAACATATCTTCTGATTTCTTCAGGTCAAACCTCCTCGCTGAAAAAAAAAGCAGATTTTCTTAATTTATAAGCATAGTATATATAATAGATGTAAACTAAAATTTATTAGCCACCCTTCCTCTAAATGCTTTTTTTACTGAACGCTACTATCTATCGTTTTCTTTCTTCTCTTTTTGAACGAAAGATAAAAACTTTTTTCAGTTTTTACTGATTATGTGTTCCTAAAAATTAAAATAAGTAGAAATTTCAGTTTTTATGATGTTCAAAATTGTTTTGCTTTAATTATCCTCCCACAATCCACTTATCTACGATTTAATAAAAGTTTATATTCATAGTTAATCACCATGCGTAACTAATAATTAGTGCTCATGTAATGTGGATCATACTTGTGAAAGCCAAATTTTGAAATTGCTTTAAACATAAAACTTAAATGCTTGATGAAATTCGTTGGATATAATTTTGGAATATGTCTTCAAGTCATTAAAATAAATATAATTAAAAAAAAGGCAACTCGGTCCTACCTTAAGTACTGTACAGTGCGCTATATAACATGTACGTAAAAGTGATGACTTTTCATTTTAATTAATTAAAACCTCTTTTCCTTTAAAAATAGTTTTTTTTCCTCTCATTTTTGACGTAAAGTAATTAAAGTGTACATAGACCTTTTCTTCGGAAAAAATTAAATTATCCGAATGGGGTCCGGTCCCAACTGATTCAGATAATTGGTGTTCTACTGTATTACCTAAGTAGGTAACGGTTATTTGCCAAATTCAGAAGGCTTATTAATTTAACAACTGATAAGACAAAATTATACTAATGATAACTGTATGACCTTCGATACTTCGAAGAGTTGCAAAAGTTATGGGTATAATTTTAAACGTTGCGCTTTTATATCACATCTCTTTGCATTACTTCTAGCAATAATAGCACATAATTAAAAATTATAAAAAATTCGAAAAGAGCAAAATTTATGCACTTTCTACTCACCCCGAAGGAACTGCAGCAGAAGTCTGTCATCATGCTTTGGCAGTAAGACATCTGATAAATTTTGGCGAAACTATATAAAAATATCAACTCTTTAAATGCAATGAATTGACAAAATATTTTTTAAAAGTTAACAGATATTACTTTATAGATCTTACGAAACAAAAATCAAATTACCAATAAAAATTATCGTTTCCTATGCCTGTAGTCATTTTACTACCAATGTATTTAAGAGACTTTCATACTTTAGGCGCACATATAATCTAAAAATGTAAGAGGCTGTATAAGAGTGTCATCCAAAAGGTCTACATGTGACGTTTGATCTAAGTTTACTAGCTGTAAGTTGATTTCCTTCCTCTATGCCCTGTTTCGTCACGTATTCGCTCAGTCCACAGGCTTAAGCAAATTTTAAGGCAAACAGCGTAGTTTAAAGTACAGAAGGAGGAAATCTGTACTTCTGAATAGATTTCTGTAGCCACTGGTCTTGCTGCTTGCCAAAACAGCCGTTCAGCTGTTCTATCTGTCTAAGAGAAGGGATGCTTTCGTGGAGGACTTTCTAACGGAAAATAGCTCATATACACGTTACGCATGGGGAAAACTATGAAAAAGCCCATGCAGCCTACCAGTTCGGCGGGATTCGAGCCCCGGACCGAACTACCAGCGTTCAGCTACTTTATCGTACGGCCGCTGCTGGGCCAAAGTTTTGAAAGTTAGTTTGGCAGTTCGTCTGACCCACACAGTATTGTAGCTTCGCGTAGAATGGCTGGGATTTTAAACCAGCCAACAGACTGACAATAGCAGTTAAAAAGGAATTGAATTGTTTACTGTAACATTTTTAGTTCTAATCCAACAGATTACGGGAAATAAAGTAAACTTCAAATAGTTAGTTTAGATAATATAAGTAAAAAAATCTGATGTGTACACCACATGACTTCCTTGTACGGAATATTAAATTAAACGCAATTTTTCCTGCATTTCATTTAAACATATTAAATTAACAGTTAAACGAATTTTGAATTAAATCTACTTAGTCGACAACGCATAAACCACATTAGAATAAATGCTCTCTTTAAAGTTCACTATATTTATTTACCATATCGACAATTCGGCGCTAGGTTCACTTAACAGTGTTACATCCCATTCATTTTATAACTCCGTTAGCACAAAAATTATATCATCTGAAGAATTACCACATGTTCTATTCAAATACTATAATAAATCTAAAACGATGTATAAAAGAAATTAAACAAATAAAAAAGAAACAGTTTTTAGCACACTATTTAGCGCCTCTTGCCTAATGCGCATGCGCTACTAATAAATTCAGTTCTCACTTCGCGGCAAGGCAAAAATACGTAAAAACTCAAAATATTTTCATTAAAAATGGAATGATATAGGAAAATATTAAACACCAAGTACAGTTAAAACAATTAAAAAACAATTTTTACAGTTAAAATTACAATTTCTACGCAAAAACAAGCTAATAACTTGAATGATAATTCCAGGATGAATTAAACATAATTTAATTCGCAATAATAAACGAAGACGTTACTTGGTTGTTGCAAAGCTTGTTTCTCTAGATTGGCAACGAATCCACTATTCTGCTGAGTTTCAAATGTAAACAAATATGGCTGCCATGCTAAACAAAAATTAGGCTTAGCTGCACTTAAAAAGATTTTAAATTGTTCGTAATTCCACAATTATTGCATCCGGCTACTCGTTTTTGAGTTATGCGAGATAAATACATACATTAGTACGTACAAACGCCACGAAAAAATCTCTTTAGAATTCATTTTAAATCAGTTTTATAATTTCCTTTTGGGGGGAAGCGTCCTTTGCCTTACGCACAGATGTCAAGCAAAAACATCGTTAAATTGCATTCGATAGTGGTCAAAATGGATATTTTCCTTGAAATATGCTATCCGAAATTTTTCGCGATTACAATACTTCCTTTTTACTTTGTACAAGGAAGTGAAAAGTGTGCTTTTAACGTACAGTGAGATTATTAGTAAATAAGTGCACAGAAGTGCGGTTTTTTAAAGGAGATTTGTAATGCACGTTTTATTTAATGTGTTTAAGTTCTCACGACTGCCCGTCATCCATGAAAAAACAAAATACATCATAATAAATTCTGAATGTTGCAGCTATCGTTATTAACTTCTGTCTCAAGACGAGATAAACAGGTGAAAATAGAAATAGTATCTCAGTAGCAGTCATTCATTCAAACATTGATGAAGTCGTTTGTTCTTATAGCAGTTTAGCTAGATTTCTCTTTAATTATGAAGACACTATTCCTTCGAAACAAGGATTAAGCAAGTACAATTCGATAGTAAATTATGTTTAATATTTTAAGATCCTGCTAATTTGTAATGACAACATGTTCTAGCCAATGCGTAGAGCGCACTGTCAAAAAATGCTTTAAATTTCAAAGAACTTAAATCTGGAAATGCATTATAAGCACTCCAGTATTCAAATCATAATGGATTCCATGGAAGAAAAATATGTTTCTAATCTCATCATTGACAATCCCTTCAGTTTTTGTTTAGATTTTGTTTTCTTTTTTAATAAATGGAAGGGAATAAGCAATTTGTTATAATTGCTTTTATTAGAAGAAGGTTGTTGATTACAGTAAAACTAAAGTTATCCGAACTTCGTCTATCCGAATCGCTGGTTATCCGAATAGCTTTCAGGATTTAAGAAAAAAAAATTAAGATGGAAACGTAGTATTGGACAGTCAACGATTTCAGACATTAAAAGGAGTTAAGCTACAATTTTGAACTTCTTGTCACTGCTTGAAAACGAAGATGGAATGCTCTTTAAGAAAATCAATAAAGGCAGCAACAAACAAAAATTTAGAAGATGTCGTTTTCAAATGGTTTTTGCAGCAACGTTTTATGGGTAACTCAATTTCGTGTCCGATTCTTTGTGAAAAATCTAAGCTAAGCTCAAAAGCCCAAAAAGAGATACTCAGCAAGCAATGACTTTCAGCACTTTCAGCACTGTATGATACGTACATAAAAGTGCTGGCCTTTTTAATTTAATTAATTAAAACCTGTTTTTTAAAAAAATAGTTTTTTCCTTCCATTTTCAACATTTTTATTGTATACAGGAATTAATTTAAGTGCATGTAGACCCTTTCTTCGGAAAAAATCAAATTAACCGATTTTTTGATTATCCGAATGGGGTCCGGTCTCAGTTGATTCGGATAAATAGAGTTCTACTGTACATTGTATAGAGATATTTCAATTACTTAATCACCGCGTAAGGTTTCATTTTAATTAACCAGTTATTGTGTTATTTTGGGCTTTCTATACTATATATCATCACTGCTAATTTTGTCAACTTTCATCAGAATGTAAATTAGGTTAAAATTATAAATATGATTTCAGTGTATCAGACAGCTTTTGGTAACTGAGTCTAGCCTTTACTCTAGATTTTTGCTATTGTATTTAACCTGCCAGCAAAATTTTCTTTGCTGCCGTTTCTTCATAAACGTTTAGCTAAGATTTAGATTAGGTTTTAATAGTGCGTTCTACATATGATGTAACTTGATCTTGTGTCCAAAGCTGTTATTTCTACCAACTCGCAAGCTAAAGGTGTTCTGTTTCTTTTAATCTGCAGTTCGTATAGTCATCAGGTCGAGCTAAAAAAAATTTTAACTCTGGTTGTGTTAGCTCTAGCTAAAATACCGCACGGAATGATATGTCTTTCCACAGTCTTCTACGGTTACAGTGATGAATTGGGGTTTTAGAATTAATAATGTAACTGAAAAACTGTTTGGAAGGCAAAAACATTTAGTAACAGTATGAAGTCATAAAAAGTTTATGGAGAGATTTTTGCCAGGTAGCACTATAAGCAAATTATTTAAGTGTTACAAAACTGGTCAGAAAAAATAAAGATTATTTAATTTTGCGATTTAAGTCCCCGAAGTCTTATTCTTAACGATCTTAAACTATTCCCTTCCTCTAAAAAAAATTAATTAAATAAATTCTGAAAGCTTTCAGATTTTATATTACGCCCAAAGGGGCTTGCCTTTTTTAACGTTTTCTGTGTTACGTTTATTTATTAAAAATCATGTACTTCGAACTTAAACCATAAAATTCAATTCAACATTAATATCGCAAAGTAATTTTAAAATGAGCATATCTTTAGAATTTCCGATACAGTCTCGTGCGCTGGAGCTAATTTTTTTTCCCCCCACCTCCGCCGTACTGTGTTGCTGTTTCTCGCTTTGAAACCGTTTAGTTTCCTAATCAAAAACTCATAAATGCTTTACAAAATCTGAAATAAGTAATAAAACAAATCTGAAATAAGTAATAAAACAAATTACAAATTTGGGCTTCCAGATGCCCATATTCGTAGGATGATTACGTTATTCAAAACTGGATGGCTCTACGTACCATTGTCTCATCACAATGCGAGAAACATACATACATTTATGCAGATTATTCATTATTTAATTTCTTTAAATATAACACAGGCTGATAATATTTGATGGCAACAGTTTGAAAAGTGAATGGACGCAAAATACCAAAAACGAAATTAATAGACCTTCTGAGCTAACGTTCCTTTGGGCTAAAAAAAGGTTGAAGCCTCTAATTGTTTTTTGACCAAAATGATTTTAAATTTTATCCTCTAGAGAAAATTATATATATTCTTCATTTGAAGAGTTAAATTCCTCGAAATTTTCAAGATATATCAACATTTTTATGACTTTGAAAACCATTTTTAATACAGAATTCAGTTCTCGTTATCAATCCGTACTTAGTTTCTTCTTAGATTTGTTCCTCTATTGTCTAATAGATGGCGCTGTGCTTCCTTGTGCAACTATATAAATTCAAACCCTCTCATTTTGAAATTGCCAACTTTCTAAGCGTAACATGTGACCTCGAACTAGCCGGGTTTAGGTGCCATATCCTCCTGGTGAACTCGACTGCCTAAATCCAAAATGTTAGGGCCCAAAACTAATTTTAAATGACTCTAAATTTGCTAGCTGTTAGCGTTAGTTGTTTCGTCATAAGAATGAGGGAAAATGGGACTTGGTTATTAGGATTACGGCAAAGCACGCAAGAGCAATATGCCCTTAATGGAAGGGATACCTTCGAGAAAGAATTTTAAGGTATGTGTGTGGGAGGGTTCCGAAGAATGCTGCGTTTAAGACTACAAGCTGTCTTAACCCAGCCATAATATTAATGTTGTTTCTTATAATATTTTGCTCGACTGAATGCTTTACTTGTACTTGTTAACCAAATCGTACTCATTTAAAACAGCAGTAAAGAATTAAAAAAGAAAAATTACCGCCATGTTTTTTAAAAGCTTAATCACGTTAAAAATATCTGCACAATTTCGTCTGTAGTTATTAAAATGTGCGACTGTTAGAAACATAAAAACGATTAAAGTTGAGTATTTGAATCAAAAAGTATATCAACAAAATAAATGATTTTTTTTTTTTTTTTCGGTCCAAAGGGGCAATTTGCCCAGAAGGACTATTAATTTCGTTTTGGCATTTTGCGTCGATTCACTACAAGCGTTGTTTCACTTTTCAGATTGTTGCCACCAAATACTATCGCCCTGTATTATATTTAAAGAAATTAAATAATCGTCAAGAAATTCGGGAAAAAACTGCTCCAGAAAGATCAAATAATTCGTAGCATTCAAATGGTCCTCACTCTTGCTTCTTTTCCCATCTTCTACCTCTGCTACCACTTACCGCTGAAAATTTCCGGTTATAGGTTCCTATGCAATTCTTAATCCTTTTGATGTGCCCTACCTCCCCGGGAAGTTTTTCGCAATATTTACGGTACACGCTGTATATATATGTAGGTGGTTCTAAGAATCGCAACTGCAAGAGCAATAAGATTTTTAAGGTCTGTTACCTCAAATATAGACCCAAAAAAATTCAAAGTTACAGAAAATTCAGGTTTCTTTTGCCCATACGTTAATATTTTGCACTGATATAAGGTTTTTCTCTCAGCGCGAAATAGGAAAAAATAAAATCACATATGCACTCGGAGACAAAAATCACTGTTATTAAAATGCTAGTTTAACGTGCTAGCACTTACACCGAGAAAGGACGCAGGAGGAAATGCTATAATTCCTAATAGTTTTAAAAAATAAATTGCGTCTCAATGACAATAAAACTAGGAGAATAATATACATATATTTAATATTGCATTCAATTATTACCTCTGCTAGGGCTTGTTTTTGGTTTGGACTCAGATCCTCCATGTGTCCACTCATCTTTCCGTTAAATTCCTGCTATCTGTCCTTGTCCATGCGATTTTAAAATACCTGAAAAAAGAAAAAGGTAATGCATATATCAAAACTACAAGGTACACATTAAGCAATTAATCATTTAAAGTTATTAACAAGTACAATTGAATAAAATATAACAAATCGAGATAGCAGTGCAATAATGTCGCGGTAAAAGTAATAAAATGTAATAAATTTGAAACTGTAAATTTTAAACTCAACCCTGCTTTTTACAGTATTTTAGTTCACCAGCAAAGTATTAATTTCTTTTCGTATGGTATTCATTTCAAAATGTGTTTTAATAGAATTTCTGACGAGAAAGCCCCGATGATTTACTACACTAAAACCCCATTTCTGCGAATCAAATGGAAAGAGAGCATTTCCAATAACTTTCTTCTTTCTCTCGGAGTGGGCAAATGTGAACTATTTTAACAACTTAAATATACAAGTAGTTATGTATATTATGCAATAAAATACGCTTACATATCGATATAACTTCAAGAAATAAGTGTCACATAATCCATATTTAATAATTAAAATTTGCATTTCAAAATGGCTTTTCATTTGATATATTGATAATGTTTTTCTACGTGTAAGATAAATATCGATAGTTTGGGAATTAAAAAGAAGTAGCGAAAATCGCTGATTTGCATCCGATAAATAATTTTTACGCTTTCCTCTGTTGACCGCCTTATTGTACGAAGGTGGTTGCGTTAATATGTAAGTATCTTTAATTGCTCAAAATATGGTTTTGTTTTAGTTCTTCTTCTAAATTGTCTTCTGTCATTAATAGGAAATTAAAATAAAAAAGGTGATCTTGATGGGCATTATGAATTCGCAGGAGAGCGTACATGGAGGCTGAGTACAGAGGAATTCCTATATGAAAGAGTACTTACTTATTATCGCAACAACCTCAGTAGAAGTTGTCAAATTTTCATAATGTGCGAAACTCTGGCATCCATGCCCTAAATCAAGTCAATTTGTGCACCAACTTCAGTGTCTTTTTGCCGAGTTGGACCAAAAGTAAACTCAAAACGTTTATATTAAAAGGGAGAGAGCTTTTAAATGCAGAATAACGTAATCGAACATTACTTTCTGATCAATAGCTTTTATGATCAGAAAGTAATCACGATAAGACATCATATTTATGATGAGAGTAATGCACATTAGATTATTATCCATTCTTTTCAAGTTGATTACACATTCATCCCCAAGATTTAATCAAAGTAAAAGGAAGACATTTAGAGTACTTAAGGCTATCTAAACTTTTATACTTCCTTCATATGTAAAAATTAATGATATGATGATCTTTTTGAGCTATTTCGCTTATTTCAAAGATTTATCTGTTTTCAAGACAATTATGCGAATCATTGTCAAAAAATACATTAACAAATTAACTCGGATACTGTACTTTTGCCAATGGTAAATTAAGAATAATGAAATCAAAGCAATCATTTATGTAAATAACAGAGCAAAATTAATCTATCTTCCTTATCGCAATAACATAGCATTTGAAAGACGGAACAATCAAGTAGCCAAACCAAAATTATAAAATCAAACAGGTGACTTTTCCTGATAATCACAGTCAAAACTTCCTTTCATTTCTAACAGAGAAAAACCTATTACTAGTCACGAAAAATTTTAATTTACGAATTTAAAGGAAATATTTTTTTGTGTGTTCTATTGTAGTCCGTTGCTAAAAATGTTTGCGGAAAATACTCGCAGGGGCAATTTTGTTTGAAATTATTATGCAATCACGTAGGAAATAACATTCGAAAGAATATATATACTTATATATATTCTTTATTTTTCTTATATATATCCAGCTCTTTTATCATTTCCGGAAGCAGCGGAAAAATCTCTCTTTTTGTTACCTATATCTCTTTGGCATAATAACCGTCTCAACGTTTTCGATAGCCTGAAGAGTCTGAAAAAGTTGAGACGGTAGAATTGTTGACAAGAGAGAACAATAAAGTACAAGATGAGAAATTTGGAAAATAATGTGGTTATAGCATGATCTGTTCCTGATCACAGAAGCTCAGCTTTCTTTGCTCAAGTGCCCTCGCGATGTCGCATTTTGAGTAAATGGTCTAAAGATACTTTAACTCTTTGAAGACTAAAACGCCCGAGACATCCTTTCATTCAAACAACCAGAACCGGCCGAAATGACCGAGATTGCGATGTTCTTTTCTCATTTTTCTTTCTTTTCTTCTTCTTTTTTTCCTTGCCGCTAAGGTATGCAGTAGCAATTTCCCCAAATGCACTGTAACAGTTTATTACAAATAGCTTGTCTTAAAAGGGTAATGGAAACTTCTTTGTTAGGAAGTAGGAAGGATGTAATTAAAAAGAGAGTAATTAATTCAAGAAAATCAAAGAAGGTGGCAACAAACAAAAAAATAGAAGATGTCGTTTTCATGTAGTTTTTGCAGCAAAGTTCTACAAGAAAATCAATTTTGGGTTCGATTCTTTATGAAAAAGCTAAGATCTTAGCTTAGAAGATCGGTTGTTCATCATTTAAAGCAAGTAACGGCTGTCTAAGAAATTTTAAGTGCAGGCACTGCGTCCTTCAAACAGTTTACTTTGACCGAGATGTTCAGCAAGCAATGACTTTCAACACTTGTAAGTACTGTGCAGTACGCTATATAACATGTACGTAAAAGTGTTGCCTTTTTATTTTAATTAAATAAAGCCAATTTTCTTTAAAAATATTTTTTTCTTCTATTTGCAACATACTGTACATAGAGTAGTTAATTAAAGTGTACGTAGACATTTTCTTCGGGAAAAAAATCTAGTTATTCGAATTTTTGATTATCCGAATGGGGTCCGGTCCCAATTGATTCGGATAATTGTAGCTTCCCTGTGCTATTAAAGTCTTTGCGTGGCTGTCTATTTGTTTGTCTGTTTTTAACATCATCTCCTCCGGAACGGCGGAGAGTGGAATTTCTAAAGAGGTGCCCGCGGATTCCAAAAATTCGTGAAAAGCTATTTATACAATTCTCACCTTCGTTCGTTTGGTTTATGTGATTACGGCAAAGCCTCGAGGGCTAACTGCCTAAAGAGAGGGATGCCTTGGTGGAGGCCCTCCTGAGAAAAATTGGCTCGTATAGACGTTACTCATGGGGAAAACCACGAAAATGCGCATGCAGCCAGCCCGTTCGCGGGATTTGAACCTCGTACCGAACTACCAGAGTTCAGGGACATTACCGCTAGGGTGCTTGTGAGAGCTCTCCTCTTTCTATGTACGAGATAATTAAAAGCTCTGAGAACGTTAATTTTCGCACCTTGCAAGTTTTTTTTTTTTTTTTTTTTTTTTTTTTCTGAACTTCGTTGCTGTTCAACGAAGCACGGTGAAATTTTAAAATTGCCATCCGGCTTTTCTAAAAGCAGGTCGACTAATTTTTTTTACGGAATCTAGCAGCCCGTTTATTATTATTAAAATATGTAAACCTAATTTCATTCATACTGAAATGCTTTAATAAATTTTCTTTTTAGGTCTACATAGAATTTAAAAATTTTGCTTTACTTTATAAAATGCTTGCCCGCGAGTTTCACTAAAAATTTGATACTAATGTGAAAAAGACCAACAAAATGAGATGTTAATACGATGACAATCAAAATCTTCAGATTTAAATCTCACGTGAATTTTTCTCCCGAATTTTTGGCCAAGAATACAGTCTTTTTTCTCCCGCTTGCAATTCATCTATAGAAACTTCGCCAACTGTATGACCGATGCTGGGCTTTGGTGCACGTCATTTATTTGTAATGCTGCGGGATGAAATCGCTTAAAGCGTATGTCCAGTATGTCAGCTAAACCGCGCCCATTAAGCATTCTTAAAATATGCTGTATACACAGTTTTTGTTGCATTTCGTTTAAACTTTATTTCCTAGCATTTCATTATAAATATATTTCTCATTCAATTAATTCAGTTCTCACTTCGCGGCTAGGCAACAACATAAAAAAGAAACTCAAAATATCTTTATTAAAAATTGTAAAATACAGAAAACTATAAAACACCAAACACAATTAAAAATTGTAAAAAGAAACAATTTTTACAATTAAAAACGTTTCTACGCAAAACCAAGCAGTTCGGACAACGGACAGGAAGATAAATATGTTGGTGCACAAAATTTAAAATTAGCTTTTGGCCCCACTGGGTAAAAAGCATTGAAGTTATTCCAGCAGCTGACTTAATTCACTATTCTAGTAAAAGTTTCAAATGTAAACAAAAAGCAGCCTAGTTAGGCTTAGCGCCCTTAAATTTTCAAACTGTTGATCATGCTTGCATGCAGATTAACTACAGGCATAAAAACCTTAACCGAAACAGAAGAAAAACATAATTCAATCACTTATAAAGCAAATTATATACAATTTATCAACATACAAGAATAAAAAAACTGAGCTGACCCTGTCGAGTAACACAATCGATATATATATATATATATATTTGGCGCGGCCGATTGCAATGAAAATGGGAGGTGCGTAACAATATGCTATAGCAGTCCCATATACTAAATTTCAATGTTCGACGGCTACTCATTTTTGAGTTATGCGAGATATATACGTAGTACAGACATTACGAAAAAATGGCTTCCGAATCCGTTTTAAATCCATTTTGGAAAAAACTGTCCTATGTTCTGTCCGTACGTATAGATGTCAAGCAAAAACATCGTTCAAACAGATTCGAGAGCGGCCGAAATGCGTATTTGCATCGAAATATGATACCCGAAATTTTTCACGATTGCAATATTTCCTTACGTGGTGTAAGGAAAGCTGAGTGAGTTTTTTAGTGTACAACAAAAGGTGGTATCGGTTCCATAGTGTATTTTTTTCAGACATTTTAAAATGTTTCACGCAATAATGAATGATTAGCACATATCACCAATCAAGGAAAATAAAAATGATGTCCAAAATGCTCAAAAGAATATCGTCACAGTTCAATTTAAAAAAAAAAAAAAAAAAAAAAAGGCGCTGTTTTGATGTTAGGCAATACACATGAGAAATCTCACACAGATTTTTTTCGGTGCTCTGAAAAATATTC